GAAAAACAAACAGTTGTTTGAAGTTAACTTGCAATGCTTTATCACACGTTTCAAAGGGTTTGTACATTTCTCTGCGATAAATAAAAACCATGTTTTCAATCCACCACTGTATGTCTGTTGAACTTCTTGTGCACCGTACGTAGCAGAGCCTGCCAATCGCGAGGTGCGGGGAAATGACAACAAACTAAACACAAAAAGTAGTTCTAAAGAAAATCCTTTTTAAATACTAACTTCAACTGTGGATGAAGGTGTCCCAATGGCTTGTCGTCCATGGGGACTCTTTGACCATACTTCACCATGCTGGTCTGTGCCGGTTTGTGAAAGTAGAGGCCCCAGGACCAGTTCCGATCTGGCTCGTGCTGCATGTTAGCTGTGTCCAGGAATCGAATTCAGTGCGACAGGTTCTTAGCGCAGTGGACTGTCCATTATGGACAAAATATTAATTACTTTAGCTCAGTTCAGTTGTGCTAATATTGATTCAAATACAGAATCCAGTGCCCGCATACACAAATAAGACACATCCTAGACACACACGAACAACACAAAACATTAAAATTAACCAAACACCCTGAGACCATATGAATGCAATGTTTAATGCGATATGGAACTTTGCTTAGGCGTTGGAGCTGAGCTATCCATTTATTTTTAAATAATCAAATTAACAGTTTGTAAAGATGTCGGGTTGATTGATGATCCAGCGCTCACCGATTCAGTCACCCACAGTTGCCTCCCTATCACCCTTCTGCCACTACGATGGTGTGGGTTAACAATGCTTTGCTACGTGAATGTTGACTGCCAGGTCTACTTCGGCTGCGCTGCAAATAGAGGATTGACATAAACTTCCCGTGGGTTTCTTGCGACTCTGCTTTTCTCGTAAATTTTAAACTGAATATTTCCCAACTCTGACCTAAACCTTTCTTTCACAAATAACTCAACACCGCGTCCAACTTTATTAGTGTTACAAGTTTAACTGAAATGGCAGTGGACATTCCCTTTCAAAGCATATTACATTACAGCGAACCTGACTGCCGCCTCGAGTTGGTGATGGCCATATGGCGTCAGCATCGGAAGAAGAGGCTCAGGTGCTATCAATCATCTGCACAGAAATATGTTTTAATGGGTTTTATTCTACACATGATTAACCCTTTTTCTTTAATCAACTCAAGGTCACACTCTTCCATTTCCAGAGCCGACATATCGGTCACATTTTTTCAAATGTGTACCTTTGAATGTTGGTATAGCAGTGGCTTTTAAATATAATTTTTTTTGTAACCCAATAAAAGACAGACGAACTGAACTACTTGGCCATTTAGACGACACAGTACAGATATCCATAGATTCATGAAGGGATGCACTCTTTAAGAAACACACGCATATAATGGCATTTCGTAAATGGGAATGGCTTTTCCCGTTAATTGATTACGAAATGTATTAATGTGTTATGGACAGTCATTCCAACTCTACTCCTAAACTAAAAAATATACACTACCTTAATCACTTTTTACAATACAAAAACATAACAAATAATGTAAATATTTAAACGAGTCAATAATAATGTATTAATAATTAACCTTTTCATCGAACTCACCAAAATATCTGCATGTTGGAATGACTGAGAAGGTGACGTGGGGGCGTTCCTGTTGCACTCCAGATACACCGTGACGCTGTGCTTGTTTGCCGGGGTGAAATTCCGTTAATCGACGTGTCCATAATTTGTCTATTGTGTGAACGCGACAATTCGTGAACCGAACATTTGTGGATTGAGGGATAGCCGGATTGTAACTATTGGATGTACTTGTAAGGGCTCAAATATAAACAAAACATAATCAGACTGTGTCGCGTAACATGTTATCAGCCAAATGCTTCAGGACAGGTGTATGGATAAAATTTAGATTTTGTCTTTAGGAGATTAGGAGTGGGCTCACTTGACATAGTGGATACAACGAATGCTCTCTCAAAGCTGCGAAGGGAGCACTATGGGGGAAGTAATCAGATCTTAATACACAGCGCACTCTTAACATTTAATATAGATATACTTAATGAAACTACACAGTTAACAAATAGGAACACTTTTTGGGAAACCTTTAAAGGTTAGAAAAGTATCAGATGAGCCAGTATCTAAGCAGTAAAATGCATTCCTGCTGCTATTTATGCAGGTACAAAAAATATTTAAATCTCATGCAGAAGAGTGCTCTTTAAAAAGTGAAAATGTCAGAATTTACACAAATGTTTTGAAGGAATCATCATCCATTTACTCTCTACCACATCAAATTGTGATCGTTATTTGGAGATAATATTCAAATTATAATTATTTATAGTACATTTTATATATTTAGACTCGATAAGATGAGCATTTCATTTAGAAAAAGGATGACGTGGATTACAGAAGATCAATCAGGTTAAAAGTGAATTGGGCAGGACACGTCGCTCTAATGGGTGCTGGATGATTGGTCAAGAATAACAACGGAATGGCAACGAAAGAATGGAACTAATCGAGGATCACATCCACCGAAGAATGGAGTGATGAATCGGCTCATGTCCAGGTGCAGGATGGATTATCACATCACAGGATAGTCAGAGGAGACAGCAGCTCGGGGAGGCCTTATCCAGCACTGGATTTATTGTAGCTGACAACAAAGATTATTGTGTCAGTAGCAATAGCTCAGTGAAGCTGATAACAGACCAATATGCAGACCAAACACAGCTGCAATACCACCGACATGTTTAATTTTCTGCTTTTAAGCATCTTATCTCATGTCCAGGATTAAGGACAAAATGAGAGGCTACATTGGCAGTCATTTTCTGCACAAATGACCACTGAGGCATCTCCCATTTATAATCGTGAGTCAGTAGTGGAAATTCCAGATTTCATTCCACCGGGCAAGCAGATTTTCTTTCCTCGTGCGCCTTCTTTAGACAAATCTGCCACAAAAAGCCAACCAAATGACCCATACAAAAGGATATTCCTAGCAGCAGATAATATATGTACCTGGTGCTGCCACAGGGAACAGCATCCAACCACAAAGGCCACACCGGTCATAATCCGCACCCCTCAATTAATCATTGCTGGGATCAAGCATGAAACAGGCTGTGGGAACCATCCTTGGACGCTTCATAATTCATTTGTCGGCCAAGTCACGAGAGCACAATGCCAATGTGTGTTGTACACCCTCCTCCATCTGACACACAGCCAAATAAAGAACTTTCTCAAGTAAACAAACGGGACAATATTTATTGCTTTACCGCACCGGTATGTTGAAGAGCGACCCACAACATTTAACAATTAGGCACAAACGCTTTGCTGGAAGTTACAACCAGCATTATCAAGGGATCAATCGAATAAACTCCTGTCGTAAAAGTGCCATCCGATTCCAGGCCGTAAATAAGAGACGTCACATCATCCACATACCCCCCACGTGTGAGCAGGATGCAATGCCTGGAGGTTAATATATTCACTTAAATTAGAAGATATTATGTTATATTACAGGGCTGTTAGCACTAGGGGATTAAAATCAATGCACTTACCCATGAAGCCCATGCAGACACCCATCCAAACCATCAAAGATGCAGCCTCATGGCACCACCTCTCTCTCTCCTGGCCTCTTTGCAAAGGCTTCAGGTAAGGGCTGAGTGTTCCCCTTTTCTAAATCAGGGTGATTGTGGAAACCCCCAGAGGCCATTGCCACATCCACCGGGGAAACAGCCAACATCTCAGCGCCCGTGACCTTGATTGCGAGCCGCCATCTCGTGGCAGACAACCCTGATGACCTGTCAGCTCCACCGCCGTTGCTGCGTGACAGCAGGAAGGAGAGCGAGTGGGAGAAGACAAAATAAAGACAAAGAGACACCAGGGAAAAGGAAAGGCGCGAGCACCGGCGTCTGGATCAACCAACGTGGAGAGCAGAGCCCCCACCCACCACCCCTCTAATGTCGGTACAGGTGTGTGTGTGGGTGTGTGTGGGGGTGTGTGTGTGTGGGGTGTGTGTGTGTGTGGGGGTGCGTGGGTGTGTGTGTTTGGGGGGTGTGTGTGGGGGGATGTGTGTGTGGGGGGAGTGTGTGTGTGTGGGTGTGTGTGGGGGGGGGGGTGTGTTTGGGTGTGTGGGTGTGTGTGTTTGGGGGGTGTGTGTGTGGGGGGATGTGTGTGTGGGGGTGTGTTTGGGTGTGTTTGGGTGTGTGTGGGGGGTGTGTTTGGGGGGTGTGTGTGGGTGGGTGTGTGGGTGTGTGGGGGTGTGTGGGTGTGTGTGGGTGTGTGTGTTTGGGGGGCGTGTGTGTGGGGGGATGTGTGTGTGGGGGTGTGTGGGTGTGTGTGGGGGTTGTGTGTGGGTGGGTGTGTGTGTGTGGGTGTGTGTGGGGGGTGTGTTTGGGGGGGGGGGGTGTGGGGGGTGTGTGTGGGTGTGTGTGGGTGTGTGTGGGGTGTGTGTGGGTGGGTGTGTGTGGGGTGGGTGGGTCTCCTGAACACGGGCTCGTGGCAACCGGAGAACACCACCAACAGCGAAGCCTCTGCATGCGTGCTGCCAGGCCATACAAACATTTAGTTTGTGTTACTTAACTCAGGACAATTAAGCAGCAAGTGCAACTCTGTGTCAAGTATATGACGTTTTGCATAATACGTTCTTCATAATGAGACTATTTAATAGAATGATCTGCAGAAACATTAATAGGACCCGTGGAGAATTGGATTTGAAATACCAACATAACCACATCAAGGGGTACAGTTAAACGCGTAATATGCAACCCTATTATATATCCATATCTACTATTATTTGTCTATTAAATTGTTTGGAAGATAAGCCCGAAATAAACTCGATTTCGACAAATTCACACTTCTGTGAGGCAATGCCACACGTGGGCATCATAGTTGTGCTAAACTTATTTAAAAACCAATGCCACTCTCAAAAGTAATACCGCTGCGGGTGATCCTTACGGTGGTACGAACAGACATTACCTCTCACAAGATTCATTAGGCCCTATTAATATATTGAGTACTGTATGCAATTGAATGAATTGTGTGCACAGGTTATTTCACAATGTATAGTTTTATTCTAATATAACTTTGAACAGGACAAAGCAAATGGCAGTTTCCCAAGTCCCAATACACCACAAAGCAGACGCGTTATTTCAGTTATACTGGCAAATGGCAACACATCAATCTGCTGCAAGGAAGAACTAAACCACACCTTGTAACCAGCCTCCAAAACAGACAGGGTTAGAATACTCACTTGATAAATGGCTAATACCTACCCAGAGTTGACCCTGCAGATGTAAGCAGTTAAACAAGGCCATGATTATCTGCAGGTATGTAAATATTTACTCTCTATTCTCACTTTTAAATTAAATAGTAACAGTGCACACAGCAATTTAAATCATACCATTGAGGCAGCCTCAAACGCAATCATACTTTGCCTCACTTATGCCAACTCGAGGATTGTGCTCTGTTGTAAATATCTGATTACATTTGGCCGTCAAAACATTGTATTTTAACACCCTTCGGTTTAAACGGTCCCGATAAGGCTCTGTGCCCGCTTCGTCTCAGATGTACTAATCACACAACACTTGCGAACTGACGAATGGCACATACAACTTTAGCAAAGATTGTGTTCCCATCATCAAGCAATTCCTCAACCCCGACCTGCCATCAGCCTAGATTACAGGCCATGTACCATTGCTCACAGCGGCAGCAGTGGGAGCAGCAGCAGTGGTTATTTTGTACTTGTATTAGACAGTGCAGACTTTGCCTGTGATATAAACAAAAAAAAGGCCTACTTTGGTGAGCACCAAAGCTACTTCAAGTATTTGTTTTTTTCCTCACTTATTTATATCTGCAACATTTAAATCAACACGTTACAAAAACAACCACACTGTTCCGTTAGTGCAGTGAATGCTATTGCTTTTCATAGCACTGCATTTTCCCATTTTTATAAAAAAACAAATCATTTCTTTATAAACCTGTTACCAAAAATTGCTTACAAATACAACATTTTTAAATCCACTTGAAAACAGGTTTTTACACAGAAACTCAAAAAGCACGCGTGAGAAACCTACGACATTTATTCCGTAAAAATACATGTGGAAAAAATGGTGTGAAATTTGAAATGTGACAGCGAATGATAAACACACACACACCCGACTGCTTTGAGCTAATTAAAGGCAGTATTGTCCAACAGTTACACATATATATGACCTTCAATGGATGTGAAATGGAAATTAAAAAAATGTCAAAAGCTGCGCTTTTTTTCTTACACCGATTCATAAAATGGTAAAAAAAAGTCCTCTTCATATCTTCACGTAATTAGTCTTTTCATAGCCGTGTGCTTTTATGTTACTTTTATAATTGGTCTTGTTAAGAATATGTCAAAGCAAAGTCAGTTGTGGCAGAAATACATGTTGGGGCTTAGGCAGGCATCTTCAGAGTAAAATGTGGTCAAGGTGCTTTCGACTAACACATAGGCACAGTGTTTGGTTATTATAATTGTGCTTGGGTGCCAGGCATTTCCACAGTTTTTGTGATTCTGTCCCCTGTATCGTGCTCTGTGCTTAAACTTTGTTTAAATCTCCCAATGCCTAGAGCAACGCTGTGACGAAATTACGGCGCTATTCACTATAAACATCCACACAACGGCGCTTGGTGGAACACGGCAACGTGTCCGAGCTGCTGGTGATAAAGTTTAGAGCACGCCGATTTCCTCTTCTTTTCATTTCTACGCATATGCGTTGGGCTTTCACGCCGCGTCGGTTCACCGTACGCTTCTTCCTCAACTCAAAACGGAAAATCGCAGCGTTGGGGCCGGGGTGGCGGCATCAGCCAGCCGGGCAAACGTCCTGCCGGGCGGCTAGACCTGGGTGTGGTGCCTCGTGACGACGCCGGGCATCTTCACGTCCAGCGCGTCGTCCGGGCCCTCCCCGTCGACGTCGTCCCCGTCCAGCTCTGCGTCGGGCGCCAGCTCGCGGCCCGCCGACGCGTCGAGCCTGCGGCGGGCGCGCGAGGGCGGCGGCGAGCCCCCCGTCTCCAGGTCGTACTCGCCGTCGTAGCGCGTGAACATCGCCCCGTAGTCTCCCGCGGAGCGGCGCGACGGCATCTCGTGCTGCGGCAGGTACTGGCTCGGGTGGAAGTTGCGGCGGTGCCGGGCGGCCGCGGGGCCGCCGGGCGGCGCGTCGATGCTGCCCGTGGACGGCACGGCGCAGAGCGGTAGCAGCGGGTCGAAGCGCTCGTCGTAGGCGTCTTCGGGGAGCGGCAGCTCGCTGTCGATGTCGTACCCGCCCAGGTAGTAGTCGCCCTCGATCTCGGCGGGGTCGGCGTACTCCGGGCAAGGCGCCTCCCCCGACTCGTCGATGTCCGGCAGCTGGTTGTGCGGCATCCAGTCGGAAGTGTCCCACGTCAGGCCTGCGGGGAAACCATCGATTCGTTGCTGCCGTTAGGGAGACGTTGATGGGCGAGCGTTCAGAGCGGGCACGTGTTTTATTCTGATAGAATGGGTGCATCACAGGATTTCTAACCATCCTCACAGCCGTGTAAAATATCCGATTGTACAATTCTTACAATTACATTAAATACTAATACAACTGTGAACTGAAAAATATATTGTCATTTGAAGAGATTAACCGCTGAACTGTTAAAACAAACCACGGGTATTAATAATCCTGGGAGGATTCTAATAATGTTTCAATAAATAATGAAAAGGTAATTATTATGCTTGGTGTTAAACTATAAACTCCGTAAAAAAAAAAAATTGTAGTGTCAGCCAAATGTATTGGTTGATATATATCTATTTTATTGGGATGTAAGATGATAATAAAGCAATGTTTTCTTGTATATTTAATCTAATTTAAAGCCTCAATTTCAAGGCTACTTATCATTATTGTTGCACGAATTGAACATATTTATATGCAAGTTATTTGACCAGTGAAAACAATGATCCTCATCGTTCATTTATGTTGAAGGGAGTCTGAAGTAAAATGTGTATATATAATGTGTAATATATAATGTATATTATCTAGATCGAACTTGTACTGAAGAAATATATCAGTGTCAATATTTGGGCAAGTCTTCCAAATGGCATGGTAAGAACAGTGAAAGGTTCAGAACAATAAACATTTAATAACGTTTGACATTTATATGACTTTGGCACTAACGCTATGCCAATGCCATACAAATCTCTTTAAACACAACCAGAAAGGCTGCAATACTGACTTGTATCTTTTTTTAACGGCAGCAGAACCAGCACTGGACAAAATGCACACATATTGGTTTACCATGCAACCACTTTCCCTGCAGGGCTTTTACAACAGCCAAGCCAACACTGGCCACAAAAAAACATGCAACGTTCCTTTTACCATCGCAAAAGTAAGCAAGCAACCCATCCAAGCACAATAGCAGCATCAGCAACACAACATTTAAGCGCGATATATTTTTTAAAAAGTGGATTCCTACACCATTTTGTGCATATTCTTCATGTATTGTAAAAGTTGCTGAGTTAATGATTCTCAAGTGTCAGCGATGTATTTTCACATGTTTAATATTTTTAACAGGAGAGAAATCCAGTGGGGGGGGGGGGGGGGGGGGGGAATAAAAACTCGGCTCGCTTTTCAAAATTCCTCCGATTTGCGAAAAAACCAAATGCCACAATTGGTCACGTGACAACCTGACGCGATTGGCTCTGTCAGGTGGTGGAAGGTTACGGTCAAAACTCGATATTATACACTGCGCAACCTAACCCAACAGAATATATTTACGAATAGCAACATTGGTTGTGAAAACATGTTAAGACAGTGACTGAAATGAATAAATGAGCAAATGAATACAAGAACCAAGAAGCAAATAAACATTGTGTTTTACTTGAAAGTAGCCACATGCCTTAGAATTCAGTACCTTAATTTTGTATTTAAATTAGTGGTCAGAATGCACTGCCATGCTCACAAACCGCAGAACAGTCCATGCAGACAGACAGAAGAGGAGCGAGAGAATGTGCAAACACGCGTGGAGGAGACGGGCACATTGTTCAACGAAGCCAAACGTGCAAGCACGGCACGCCCACATGCCCACATGCCCGCCACCGCTCTCATGCACACACGTCACCTCGGTGTACACTCCTTGCCGGTTCCACTATGGATGCTGAAATGGGAAGGAAACAAATAACACATTGTCGTAAACAGGAGGGAACATTTTCAGCAAAAGGCAGCAAACTACTGCTACTGTCATGATACAAACAGCAGCGTTGGGTGACGCCGCTCCCTGTGTCACCATGACAACGGGTGTCATCCCATGGTACCCCGCCACGTGGCACAGCGGCACTGAGCGGCTCGCAATCGGAAGTATTGCGAATTCAAATGCTGGTTGTGGATTGACTCGGCCCATCGTTTCTCCAGGGTTAATAAAATAGGTACCACTTTGTGGTGAAAACTACATTTTCACCACTGGCTCACCACTGGCTCAGGCCTGCAAACAGGGTGCTCGTTTGGAAAAGGAAATCGCCGTGAGTTTTCACTTAAATCATCCCACCATCGGCCCATTTCATGTCAAGCTTTATGGCTTATAGGTCTGGAACTACAGTGTACAACAATGTCAATTATATTAATTATTTGCGCCGTGGTGGCGAGATGTTAACTACCTCGCCTGGTATACAGGAGGTCGTGGGTACGGCCCTGACGATGCCTGTCTATTTCGAAATTGCATCTTCTCCTCGTGGTCAAATCGATTTTTCTCTGGGTCCTCTGGTTTTTCCCTCCACATTTAGAAACATGTGTTTAGAGTATTTCATTGATGTACATTTCCACGTGATAAGCCATTTCATTGGGCTGTCATTTGTGGCCAGGTCGTTTCTGCCTTCACCAACACGCACTGACGAGCGAGGTGAAGCGTGCTCAAGTCGTCTCTCAGCGCCAGCGAGCAGTGGGGAGAGGCCCTCATGAGCAGTGCATTAACTAAACGGGCTGCACCGTATTTATTTCACTCTGTCGACTTGGAGTTATCTCCCCGTCCCCCGCGTTTGAATGGAATCTTTAAAGTCACCAAAATGGCCATTGCCAAACTGTTCTCGCGCATAAAATGTGTCTGGGGCACACTTATAATGTAAAAATGTGTATTTGAATGAAGTGCATTAAGGTCTAATCAATCTTGATTGCTTTTCAAGTGATAAAACATTCCAATAATTCTGAAAATAAACCCGAAGGGAAAAGTAAATATTGAAAGTTTTTCTTTTGTGGAACAAATATTTACACAAAATGCAACCGGTATAAAATGTAATTTTGTGCTCGGTCATAACATTTTAAAAACATAAATAAACATAGGATCACACTCATAAATGTAGGCAATATTAATATTTTGTAAGTATGTTTGTTATTATAGTTATATACCTTATTAACAATGGTCTAGAACATTGCGTACATTTTCAGTGTATCCCCAGGGAGAGAGGCACCAATGCGGCCTTGTGGTTCGCTCTAACGCCACTTGCTACCACACGGAACACATCGATGGCCTATAGCAGTGCACACGAACGTGAGCTTCACCGCTCCTCACACGGTACACGTACAGGCAAGGGTGGTCCAGGCCACCAGTGTTGAAAGAAATATGTTATATATAAACTTTCGTTATATACAATATAATAACATCTTGCCACGGTAGTGAGATGTGAGATGTTAACTACCTCGCCTGGTATACAGGCCGTGGGTTCGATCCCGACCCTGACGCCTGCTGTATATTTGGAGTTTGCATGTCTCTCTCCCCGTGGCCGCGAGAGTTTTTCTCTGGGTCCCCTGGTTTTTCCCTCCACATTTAAAATCAACATGCGTTAGTATTTGGCTGCTATAAATTTCCCCATTTGTGGCCAGGTCGCTTCTGAAAAAGAGCTTACATAGCTCAGTTGGGCCTTATCTGGTAAAATAAAAAGAGGAGTGATCGTAAATAGTAATAATGAAGTCATGCTAGAGCTTCTGGACTCAGGCACTTAACCTTCAACAATGGAACTTCCACCCTTCATGATGATGATGCTTGGAAAATCGAGTTCACAAGGAGTGCCGAACAAACACCTCACGGAAGAGTCCCGACGTAGAAGATCCCCAGCTTTGATCTTCTGAAAAGCCTCTGGGCCACAAACCCTCAACCGCATTTGAACACAAACCATGCGCGAGGTCCGGATTCGCGAGTTACTAAATGCGTACCGATTCCCTCTCCGTGACCCAAGAGAGTGTGTGTACATAGCACCAGGCCACTGGGGAGGTGCACGCAGAATGTTGTTACGCTTGAAACCGTCTGCGAAGATTCTGCGCGTCCCCTCGGCTGCCCGCTTAGCCCTCCATCCCACAGTAATCGGGCCCCGAACTCGCTGTTGTGCAAGTTTACTTGATGCGTGCTTACAGTCGACTCATTGAAACACGTCGCTTTAATCGAGTTGACTGTGAAGTCCATTAAAAAGAACGCGAATGCAATCTGTGAGTGTGTTCCCAAAGTGCATTTGCATGCATGTAGGATTAGAGTGAGCATTCAGTACATCTTTGAGAGATGCATTAAATGCATGCACATAATGAAAAACGTATTTTAATCTAAATATTATTCACTTCACAGTGAAGTGACTGCACCGCCCATTTGCACAGTTAGCTACATACGGTGCGAAAGAAGTTCAACAAACATTGTACGATTAATACACAAAGCTGCGTTAATCTTAAGACTAACGCTACCAACAAGTTGGTGACAAATGTCCTTAGTATTCCATTACATTTGTATGCTTGTGTAGTGACAGAACGGTCACTACTGTGTTGGCCCGTACGAGGGCTGGGGGCCCCAAGGGGGTGCCTGGGGGGTCACGTACTGGAGGGATCCGGACCTTCCCAGAGGTGGGGGAAGTGAGGCGTGGCCTGGGAAGTGAGGCGTGGCCTGGGAAGGGAGGCGTGGCCTGGGCGGAGCCGGCCACGCCAGAGAGACGAGATATAAGCGTGGTGTGAAGGCAGAGCAGGGCTGTTCCTGAGAAGAATGAAGACACCTCGTGAAGATGCCAGAAGAGAAGACTTAGAGTGAGCGGACTGCCAGCAGCCACCTGGCTGGGTCACGCTGGAGCGGCTAAAATACAATTGTGTGTTAGCTAGTGTAGGTCGGTGGTCACCACCCTATGTGTAGAGAAAGAGTAACTGTTGAGTAAACGTTGTGTTAATTAATAAATGAGTGTTGCCTCCCAAGAAGTGTGTGCGCCTAAATTGAACCCATTACACTTGTATACAGTATGCAGAAGCAATTATCTACAATGCTTCACGGTATATCTAAACTTGCAATTACAGTACTTAATTTACATGCAACGTATCAATCAGCTGCTGGATGAAGGCCTCCCCATGCCTTTAGGTGATGGGGTTTGTTTGACCAGAATGCACCGCGCTGGACCGGTGCTGCTTAATGAAAGGGGATGGGGCCCAGGGCTGGATCAAATAACGCAAGGCACCGACGTTAGCCGTGGCTGGGAATCGAACTCTGGATCCAGATTCAAAGTGCAGTGCGCAAACCACCGTGCCACCATCTCTACCCTCCCACAATGGACCCTGTCCCTGTATTTCCTGAGATACAGTTGATACGCACGAAGTTTAGCGTGTCTCTAGATGTGCAATATAAAAAAAAGTGTGCGACCACTGTGAACTACTGAGATTGCGATTGCCCGACAAAGGGTCGTGAGGGTCTCTCCAGCCCAGGCGGTCCCTGGCGGTGGTCCGTCCGTGCCTCCGCAACAGAGGGCCTTGGTGGGCAACAGAGAGCCTTGGGGGGCCAGCGGCACAGTCGGCTGTGCCGAGGCCAGCCACCTGGCCACGTCCTGCAATGGTACACTGCTATTCGGCACTGTCAACGCGAAATGTTCCAATTATATAAAGAAATCTTTTGGGAAATTATGCATTATTAGAACTATCTCTTGAGAATGGGGAAACCTTTAGCAATTGAGAAAGGTTCATATTTGTATTGAATTAGGTTACAAAAAATACTGACAAAAGTCACAAAGGCAAGCGTTTTCAGATACCGCCCTTTTGGCAATTTTAGCCACAGCTTTTCCCGGGGGAAACCAGATTATAAACAAGGACGGGCGAGGGATAAACGCACTTACAAACTCATCACGAGCACTTTCAATACAGGCTGAATAATTTCCTTTTGAGCTTAAATAGGTGAATAAAATTATCCATGACTGCACACAAAATTGGTTTTCATTGGTTGAATATGAACAAAAGATAAATATAATTCATAAGAAATACGGAGATTGGAATTTGAAAAGCAAAAAGCCTAATTTGATAAAATGTTATGCTACAAAAGTAGACATTGTTATGACAAAAAAAGCTTCAATTACCGTAATTGACAAATTCAGTAAGCTACACCGCGCTTGTGGAGAATAAATCACTAAAGATGCTCACAATGATGTACGGACAAAAAGGAAAAGCCTTATTATTATTCAGCAAAGGTACAACATGATTGCGGATAACCAACATAATAGGAATCCAAGATTTGAGTGAGAGCTTTACTTGATGGGCCTTCAAAGCTAGGACCGTGCTCAGACACGAAGTGCATTCATTGATGGACCCCCCAAAATGTCATCAACTTCCAACCTTTAAAGACACGGGGAGAATGTATCCTCTCATAAGCTTCAGAACAACTGGAAACACAAATTTAAAAATACTTGGAGTAACATCAGCCCAGCAGAGGGCCCCTAACTTGTGGTGATACTTCAGTGCAGCACAGATTTGGATTAATGCTCTAATTGTATTAAAAATAATCACTGTGTGGAAATAAAAGTGGTAATACCATCACCACTTATATAACGAGAATTACTAATGAAAATACGTGTTCCCCTTTTTTCTGGGAACAAAACAGGTGTTGAGATGTTAAAACACCAACATGAAACCTTTTACAAGGAATCATGTCTGCATTAACCACAATACTTGTGGTCAGAATGCAAACAAACACATCCTCTGATAATAAATGCATTGTCTTTGAAACGTATTGGTCCACACCAGAGACAGCTTTCTTTTGAGCCTCGTCTCAAAACGGTGTTAGACCAGAGGACGCCAAAAGGCGTACTGAGAATGACTAATATTTGATTGCAGAGTGATTTTGAAAACTGGAAATAAGTGTAAAATGTTAACATCTTCAAATTCTAACATGGCATTATGTTTTCATACCAGCAATTAGTAGGATTAAAACTAGTGAGCTCTCAATGACGATATATTGCTTCAGGACATCCAATGAGGCATCGTCACAATTCAGGGGCAAACTTGAATTCGTAAATATACACACGATGTGATTCCGCTTCTGGTGCACGTAGCTCGCAAGCTGGCTGCGAGGTTTGCCAGCGCGAATCACTCGCAACGCAAACGAATCAGAAATAACAATAGCCACCATTTAACACATCGCCAGAGTAAAGTTTGACGATGACGGTGTCGCGTCCTGGTGCACACAGCAGCTGCGAGCCGACCTGGCTACCTTGCATGCTGTGCCCCACTGTGCATGAACATGTCCCTGGCCCCGATGACCCCGAGTACGAACGCTACACACACACGTCTGTGTCCCCTCTCTGCCGACTTGTGTGCTAAGATCGCCATGAAACAGCAGCATCGTAAACTGCTATGTAGAGGTACAACTGTGCCCCGTCAGACTAATAATGAGCACGCAGGATCCCCGACTCAAACATTGGCACGAGTTTGACATTTCAAATACCGCACGCGCTCCACATGTTTCTTTGCACAATGAATGGTTGTATCGGGTTTGAGTACAGTATCCTGGAGGTCAGGATTGGCAAGACAGGTTTCAGAACATTTAAACAGCTTCTATGTGGTAAGAAATACACGGTACCCACTTCTTGAAATTCGATTCGATTGTGTTTTAAACGTAACTGGAAAGGGCAGCTTTGAGGAGTTAATCACGACAGAGAACGTGAGGCCGAGGTCACGTTTCTGATTAGCTGCAAGCCATAGTTTAGCAAAGTTCACTGCGTATTACAACGCACAATTCACGGATTCGTCAACCAGACATTGCACATACTGAAATTTGCTTCCAAATGTACAGTCCTGGAAGGAGTAATAATCATAATACAAAGATAAACTTGCAGCCCTTAGCCAACTCACTACTCGAGGATGGCATCCCCGTGTTTTGTCAGTCGTGGGGGTTGTTTGACTAGATGTTAGTTACCGCGCTGGTCAGCGTGGGTCGCTCTTCAAAGAGGTGGGCCAGGCCCTGTTCAGATTGCACTCGCCACTGATGTTAGCTGCGGCCGGAAATCAAACAGGTCGCCGGCTTCATAGCGTAGGGCACCAACCACTGCACCACGACTCCTCCTCCACAGTTTCAATTTAATTTCAGTTTTATTTATTTGGTATAGCCCTGTGAGCCATTCGGCTCTTGAATCGGGTGCACACATTGGGTATATACCGTGTTCCACTTTAAATAGTCACTGCTTTAAGGTGATGCCAGAAGTGGCACGATGAGAACAATTATACGTGATTTAAAATGTATATATTTTAAATGCCATAGCAATTGGGATAAGGGAAATATAGCATATGTGTATTTTTTTAAAATGTGAACGCAATTTGCTCATTCACATTGCTTGAGAAATCTGTGAGAATCCCATAACAACAAATGCAGTGTTTGACAGTAAAACAATCGAAGCCAATTTCATATTTTCTATTCTGTTGACTTAAGGTTCATTATGCAATGTCTTGGATGACGTAGGAGTGTTCGTGAGCTAAGCTTTGCCACCGTATTGACGGCACGGTGTGTGGGGTCCACTTGACTTGTGGGCGCATACAACGAAAATGTTTTGCCAAAGGCGATTCCATGAATTAGTGCTCATTTGCAAAAACAAATTAGCATGGGGTGTTGCAAGATTCCAGGGGGTTGAAATAGACGTGACCTCATCTGTCTTGTGATTTTAATTGCAGCTGTTGAGCGTTTTATGCAAATTGCGGTTAAGCATGGCAAATGGGAATAACACAAATGAGCACTTTGCATAATATTCTGATTACATTTAATCACCTAGACATTCAAAAGTTCAGCTTCAAAAAACGGATTTTAAGAATGATTTAAATCGCACATATGAATGGGAAAGGGTAACATTCATTTGATGGGCAGCAGTGGACATATTCGCTGTTTTTAAGAAACAGTTTTTTTTGCCTAAAAGGTAGCTGCAGGTTCAGTTCCTACCCAGAATAGTTACACGTTATTTTTAGGCTTTCTACTTTTAGGAGACTTGTGAGTATGCACCTCTGGTTTATTTCCCCAGGGTGGCATACGCTTTCTATCTATATCCATTACTATTTCAAAACTGACCACTCGCCAAATCACGCAACCAACCAAGAGGAAGAATAAAGGGCAGCGCTGCTCGACTGAGGAACGTGTCTAGACTTCGATGTAAATGCATTTCGGCTGAAACCAACATACGTGCAATTACCATCCCTGCAATAATCAAGTGGCATTATTTCAGGCCCATCAATTGCAGCATCGCAACATGGGTTGAACCACCAAAAGATAGATTAAAAGTTAACATCTTTAAAATGTGTCTGGTAAATTGCAAAATGTAATTGATATTAAAAGAGAATACAAAGGAATGTCGTGTTCTTCTATTGAGTACATGGGATTGAGAAATACTGTTGAAACGAACAGTTAATAAATTAATCACGTCAAATACATCTTGTGGTTTATGCACTGCCACTAATGTGTGTTCCGTAAACAACACCAGTTAAGAGTTTTGGATTCACGGTGCATGGCATCCCTTGAAGCCACACCCAACACACAAACAGCTCTTCTGACATTGGTCCTTGTCGACCTTAGGACACTCCTCTTACTGATGGTTGAAAATGGGATGGGTCAGTGTGCCCTGTGACGTAGCTGCATGCGACATCAGCGGGATGAAACATTTGCTTTTGTTAATTTATTATTTTCCGAATGTTAGAGGAATTGCACTATCGGCATCATATCAGGACGTGAATTCCCGTTGGTAAAGCTCTCAGAGCAGAGTGCATGCCCTGGTGCGTCAGAAGTCGGCCTTCAGAAGAAGATAATCGCGCAACTGAGATCACGTCAAGTAACCGTTTTTACTGACATCAGGGAACACACACATTTTTTTTTTGCATGACAATCAAACCAATATTTATTTTTGATTCTCAGAGCTAGCATCCATCCAAACGAAGTGAAAAACTGAATATTACATGACGTATGTCTTGTGTATTCATTTTAGACCAGGCCAAGACCATAAACTCACTAAACTTGCGAACCCGGTCAAACCTTTTCCCATTCCGATGACGTACGTGTAAAATAACTCTATCGCTACGTCTTCAGGTTGGAAGACGTATCAATGATAGCTGGGAAAATTTGGCGCCAGCTATCATCGATTGCGGTCTCGTCGTTGCAGTCTCTGCAGTGAGTACATGACAATGTCTTTAAAAATAGCGACACTACACCTCTCTAAATAAAATTAACTCAGAACCCCTTGCACATTCCGAGGTTCAGTGGTGAAGGGGACATCCACCCTGCAACTTGCAGACATCTCAGAATGGGACGGAGTGAATCAAGGTGTGACTGCCTGCATTCACACCCAGAACGTGTCAACCACGGAGCCACCCGACCACCTCCGAGCAGAATTTTGTATTTTTTTGGCATTGGAAAAGGCGCAAAGCCGGGGTAAAAGTGACTCACCGTTGTCATCGCAGGACTCGGACTGGAAGGAGCTGAGCGACTGCACCTCCGACATGCTGTCGCGGGGGTTGTAGGCGCTCGGCTCGCCCTCGGGGACGTCGCGGGGGCACAGGCGGGGGTCTCGCTGCGGCGGGTAGGAGCGCCCGTCCGCCTCGTGCAGCGCCCGTGGGGGCACCGCACCGCCCTGCTTGCCTGCAACAGCGAGCGTCAGGAAGCCACTACAGCTGTGCACTTGTAAATCATCCAGACTGAAAACTCGTTCCTTTAGAACCGCTTGTTGCGTTTAGTTTGTCGTCCTTCCCCCGCACATCTGATTGGCACAGATGGCTACGTACGGTGCGAGAGAAGTTCAATACGCATGCATTGCGAGACCACAAAATATCATGATGGCTTTTGGAGGCCTTCATGCAACAGTGGGCAGATGGTGGCTGATGATAATGTACGGGAGACCCTTGAACGTCGCGGGTTCATCCTTCGCGGATTTTACCTTTCGCGGGCAACCTCCTTGTATACCAGTTTAGCTACCGCGAGGGTTAGTTTTGGCCATTCGCAGGTACACTGTACATGCGTGGCTACGTACGGTGTGCCCAAAGTAGAGAATTCCTGAGAATGGGATTTGATGTTTTTGGCAATAAGTTTGTCTAAGAGCTTACACCTGGAAATGTTAGAAATGGGCCCACAATTAATCAATTCAAGACTATGGATGCATTATTTTCAATCGGCGCACACATAAAGATAAAGTACTCATCTGCATGCATAAGATCATATACAAGCTATATAATGATATTCTGCGCAAATTACAGGTTTTCATCACGTTGCAGCATCATGAGCATTGACGACGGCTGTGGGATGCCTTCACCCTGCTATGGATTTGACCATGGCTCTTGATCATGATGCTTCCTGGCTAAATCTGAAACACGGCCAGGCATGTACACTTGCGGGAAAGAGGCGCCGGTAACAAACAAAACACTCGAGTCTCTTCGCACAAAACTTCACGGCGAGAGGAGTTCCACAACACTTTGAGTTCCCCGAGGTGCACGCCACGCGACCCACCATCAATGTCCTTCTGCAGGGACTCGCTGTCGGACGCCGGGTTGGAGGACGACGGCGGTGGCGGCAGGTTGGGCGCGACGCTGCACACGGCGACCACCTTGCGCGAGCCGTGCACGGCCGCGGCGGCGGCGGGGGCCTCTCCGCCGTGACCGCCCTGCGAGCCCTCGCCGGGGCCGCGCGACTCCCCGGGCAGGCTGGGCGTGTACGACATGGGTCGCACGGGCACCTGGGGTGGAGCGTGGGCCGAGGAGCCGCCCTGCCTGCCGTTGCCGTGGTGGCGCTTGCGGTCGCGGTTGCCGTGCTGCCCGCCGCCCGCCCGGCCGTTCGGTGGGAAGGCGTACGACTTCCCGACGAAGGAGGCCGTCACGGGGTCTCCCTGCACCAGCGCGATGTTCCGGTCGGCGTAGTGCCGGCAGCAGATCCTCTTGCGGAAGACGACGAAGACGGCGGCGAGGATGACGAGGGCGACGAAGAAGACGATGATCCCGATGAGCTCCTCCGAGCTGAGGGGCCACGAGCCGATGGACTCGACCTTGGGGATCTTGGTGCAGGTCGGGTCGCCGAAGCCGTCGGTGCAGTTGCACACGTACGAGCCGTACGTGTTGAGGCAGCGTCCGCCGTCGGAGCAAGGCCCGCCCGCCACCGTCTGGCACTCGTCAACGTCGCTCTCGCACCTGCGGCGGAGATCATCGAAGTGGCGATCGTTTGTCGCGCGTCCTCGATGTCAAAATGAACGCTCTCTTACGTCGAGGAATATACCGTGGGCCCGCTCCTCGACTATCGGACTTGCCACACTGGATTTCCAAGTGGTCGGTGTAGAAGCCGCCTGAGCGGCTTACTGTTGCTAAGTCGGAGCACATATCCCTCTATCTCATGGTGAAGCTATCGATGTGAACGTTAACACTAAAGACCCTATGATGCAATTTTCAAGAGTTGTTCGTGGTGTGTTGATGGCAATTTTAAAGCTGCCCACAACTGAAAACCTATCAAAAGAAACGTCAATACACTCCTCTGATTATCCCTGACCGGGCCGTTTTACCTCAATGGATTTCATATGTAATGTGATAAACTGAACAATTAACAGCTTTATTTAATTGGCTTTATCAGGTGGTGAAGGGTTATAGTTAAAAATGTACATCATACCAACTCGGCCTTTCCCGAAATAAACTAATTATGAATCAAACGCCTACATATAAAATGAACAATGTGTGTTACAATCATCATGTATATCAACAAAAATACTTGCAAATAAAGCGATCTTCATTGCTAATGAGTAATCAGAGAGAATGGTTTGTGACATCTCAAGCTAATCACATCTTAATCAGTCGAGTGCAGTGATTATGCAAGAGGGGCTTAGGGCACCTCGACGCATGTTAGTTCATTGTTAAGATGCGCAAGTAATGAAACACATTTATTCAATTTGGCGGGCATGGAAGCATTTTCTTAATTTAATATACCATTATCCCATGCTGTTGTCTTTCAGTTAAATTAACGCTGATTTATCACTTAGCCAAAGTGTACATTTTGAGAATACCGATTACTTCTTAAATACAAAATTGTGTTTCATGTTGCAGCACCCACCAATAATGGCCGACGTTAGTTTATGTTTTGAACATAAACCATCGTCTGCAGGAGTCGGTCGACTCCATTGGCTCGGCTTCAAATTGAGCGGCAAGGTGGCGGCTCTGGAGTTCTAAACCAGCATCAACGACTTTTTTGTTTTGAGGGTCCTTTCACAAGGTAGTGCCACAAGCGTTTATTGACAGAGCAATTGCTACAGCCCGAAATACTTTGTGCGACTGTCAGCGAGTTTAACGACGAATGACATTGGCAACTAATGGGCCTCACCTCTCTCACCGGCTGCCAAGGGACATTTCATATCTGGAAAAAAACGAACGAACCCATCCCATGCGAAGGACCCCGGCTAATTTGATCATATTTCCCTAACACTTTGGAGATTGATGATCGGGGTGTGTGTTGGGGGCTGGGAATTGGCACGGCATTGTCGTGTTTTGAGTATAGAGGTGAGGGACACATTTCTAGTAGAGGGCATTTGGAAAGCAAGGAGGTAGGAGCTTTCAAGAGGTGACATCGAATTGTATACAAGCCACAGCTATGAACCATCCAGTCAGCCTTTAGGTTAAGCAGATAATGTTGCATTATAAACATTACCAGCTCTCCTGAGCCAAAAGCACAAATGTCCTTGTGGTGGAAGCTTCTGCACAGTCCACCGCACTGTGATATTGAAACAGGCTGTGGATTTTACGAGGCAAACTTAGCTGCCTCAGTGAGATCAACAATGTAGCTCAGCAATTTGCTGAATACTGGAATACAGGAAATGATGGTGAGGTCACGGGTTAGTTTTATATTTCTCTCACAGTCATGGCAATTGAAGATACGGTATTGCAGCGCCATGCACCCTTGATAATTGTTCATTGAGGATTGCTTCCCTCTGAAGAATGAAGGCTGTTGGTGCAATGGGCAAACTTCCCAAATAAACGTCTTTTCAGAACGGGCACGTGACAGAGACATGCGGCCACTGACGGAGACGCTAAACGTTCACCATTCCACCGACGGGCGCTCGTGCAGATTCCGGGAAATGCTGGCGGTGAGCAAAACTCCGAGAGGCGCCTCTCATGCAGGTGCAACAGGTGCGACATGTAGAACGAAAGAGCGTCAGGGCACGGCGACATGCTGCGGTGCGAGACAGAGGGAAATGGTGGGGGGGGGGTAGCACACACCTTCCCCCAGTGAAGCCATCAAGGCAGAGGCAGAGAGGCCCCTCCTGGCTGTCTTTACACATCCCACTATTCTCACACTGGAATGTGTACGTGCACAGAGCAGTGACCTGGCATCTGGAAGGGCAGACGAGAGTTGGAGAGAGACAGGAGCAGGGCCAGAGAGAGACGGGAGAGAGACAAAGCCACCACCCAAAATAGATCCATCACATGCAATAGAAAAAAAGTTAATTCATTCACATTCATCGTTGAAATTAAGCATTCCAATGTTTTTTTTCAATATTAGTAAGTGTACATTTTGAAATGGTTCTTGACCTAGGCAGCAATGCCCAGCCTAACTCTTTCTGAAAAACATCTGAGATAATTGTACGGTATGGAAAAAATTAAAATTGGAAAATAACTGAAAAAAAATTGCAAATCAATTGACAATGAAGTACGCCTTAAAAGACACTTAATTTTAAGGGCCCGCAAATGATAAATATATAAATGGGTCTAAAGTTGTAAAAACTTGAAAAATAATACGTTTTTTTCTTCACCTGTTAAGTAAAACATAAGCTTGAGGCTGCCGAATCCAAGGTCAAGAACTGCTGGATTAATGAGAGATTGAGGTGTAGCAGCAGCAGCAGCAGCAATAAGTGGCACACGTGTGTGTACCTTGTGCCAGTGAACGCTCGAGGACAGCTGCACGTGTATCTAGAACCCGACATTTGGCAAACCCCTCCATTGGCACACGGCTTGGAGGCACACGCATCACACTCCACACCTGGGAACAACAACAACAATGACAACAACAACGACAACAACGACAACAATGACAACTCCTCTCTATTTAGCCGAGACGGTTCGTCTCGTCGTCACATCAACATGCACTGCAATGCCTCGGCTAAGGTGCAGCCCTGCAATATCTTGCTCACTCCACTCGCTGGCAGAAGACCTCCACAGGAGAGGTTCCTCTCAAGGGTGTTTGGCCTTCTGTTCCATGCTGGGCAGACATCTTAACAGGGGTGAGAATACCCCACACCTGACCCCACCGCACACCACCTGCCGATTGGCTGTAGTTTCCACGCTCGTACTGCCGGGTGGTTACAAACTGGCGGATTTAAGAAAATTACCTCATTGTGTCTGTCCACTGCTACACTGCCAGATCGAACTGGCGACATCTGGATTGCAAGTCCAATGTGCGAACCATTACACCACAGCAGTATCCCCGAATGTATGTCCAAAAAAGGTATCCAAAATTGCTGTATTCCAATTCTTTATCAGCATCCTCATTACCAACACACTCATGGGAACAGAGGGTTCTAACACATGTCCTTTGCTGCTGATCTCAGCCAAGCGGGGTTCCTATTTTAATTCCTGTTGCTCTACGCCACCTGTAATGTTCCCGTTCCATTGTAATGTACACCGATGCCTACTTTATGGAGGGCGAAATTGGCACGTAAAATAAAAAGTGTATTGATTGAAACACAAGCGAGATGCGCGTGCGCGCGCGCAAGTCCGCGCAGAGCGTCCCGTCCCACACACGTCTCACGCAGACGTCGTGCGCTCGCCTACCGGGCTCACACTCGTCGAGCGGGCACGAGGAGGACACGTCCACGCTCTCCTCCAGCTTGACGAGGGCGGACGAGGAGGGCGCCTTGAGCGGCAGGTCGAAGCCGTTGAGCGCGGGCATCTCGAGGCAGCCCCGGAAGCCGCTGCTCACCATGACGCCGCCGTGAGCGCTGCGGCCACTCCGGCGCCGCACGATGCCGCCCAGGTAGAGCCGCGCGTCGGCGGGCAGCGGGCCCCGCCAGCCCGGCGGGCAACGCAACGGCCCGCTCGCCTCGACGCCGTTCACCGTCAGCCTTGCCCGGGTGTCGTCCAGGGCGAGCGCCAGCGAGTGCCAGCCGCCGTCGCTCACTGGCTGGATGGACGTGACCGAGCCGGGCCCGCCTCCGCAGTCAAAGCGGAACTGCGGCCTGCCTTCGGAGAGCTGTGGGAAGCAGACGGCTGCACGTTACAAGAGGGACGAAAATGGTTTTGACATCCATTAACGGTTTAACACGTAGAAGGCTTTCGCGACCAATATCATCCGAAATGTTTTTTTTTTGTTTGATCGCGTAAATATAAATGTGTTGTTAATTCGAACCGGCAATGGATACCCACTGTAATTTATATGCATTCATTAACCCCCTCCCCTTGGCACGTGAAGTGCTCATAAATGACGTCATCACATATATCCCTCTATTTAATGAACGAAACAAGATTTCTCCACAAATCTGGCTCTCCGCCTGATGATGCCGGTTGTAGTAACTGGCGAAATGTCGTACTCAGATTGTAAATGTTGTGGATTTTTTCTCCAACACACCGGTGTGCTGTACTAGTAACGAATTGGCATGTTCTGTTTACGTGACAAACCTCCCTATTTGGCTGTGTCACGTGGTGGCGGGTTTAACGACACATTTATATTTACGCGACCTAACACAATTGTTTTTTTATCATGGATCCATTAATAGCACAGGCTGAGAACAAAAAGTTAGGGACAGGCTAGACTAGCAGTCTGCATTGCACCCGGGAGATCAAGTGGCTGCAGAGAGGTTGTCAAGAGAAACATATGAAAGAGTGAAAACAAAAATGCAGCTGGCTTGAGGCCCTGCCTTGTACTGGCTTTATGCTATGGCCATGCACCTTACCGATGTTATCTGTGGAATGGACTGTTGCTCAAGAATGTGACTTTTTACTCACTCGCAATTCTGCAATATGACGCACACTCACTGAAGCACTGTGGTGCTTACAACATCAGCTTTTCGAGACGGAGAGATGGCAATCTAATCCCGTGATTGCTACAGAGATACCTAATCCCTGCAATGGGAACATTATAAATGTAACAATCAAGAGCAGAACTCCAATTGCCATTCCATTACAGCAGCACACAATGGCTTTGCTTTCAGTTTGCGTGAGCAATTTGAAGAAAACATCTTTATGCCCCTGCAAATAAAAAATAAAGGCAGTGTGTGGACATATCTATTGGGACTTTGGTTATATATATATATATTTGTATATATCTGCAAGTTCTCCACTGCTCGGCTTCGCTGAAACATTGTTTCAAATGGAAAAAGGGCGACTCAAGTTCTTTAAAAATATGAAGGGACTTCGGGGTTTCAGCAGGTCTTCACAAGGTCCAATCGTAAAACATTAATACATTGGGAACGAATCCTATGGGGTCAAGTCAAGTGGAATTGATGAACTAGGTACGAACTCAGGGCACCAGCGTAGTCCCATTGGCAAGAGTGATCTGGGAAGAGCTGTCTTGTTGGTGAAGGTTAGAGTGACTGCTGCCTCAGGGATAATGATAACCTTCCTTAAAAAAGACATAAAAAACCCCACATTAAATTTACGTAACTTTGTCAATCCACTGCTGGATAAAGGCCTCAACATGCCAGACCGGTCACTGTGTTGTCTGACCATATTTCACTACACTGGCCAAGGCAGGATGTTGAAGGAAGGGGGGCCAGAACTGGTTCAGATATCATTTGCCGAGGCAGAATCCTGGAAGTCCTGAGTGAGCAGCAGTGTGGAAGGGGCCCCCTCACCACAAGGGCTGCAGGAGTGCACCGAGAAGGCCCAGCAGCACCTGCTCAGGGCAACTCGGGATGGGAAGTGTATGCTGGTCCACCAGTAATGCACACATCCCAAAGAATATGAAAAAAAACTAAAACATCAGCTATGACCAGGAATCGAATTCGGGTCCACAGGTTTGTAGAAAACTTTTATACCAGGTAAGGCCCACTGAGCCGTGTAGCTCTTTTTCAGATGCGACCTGGCCGTAAATGATAGCTAAAAGAAGTGGATTATCACGTGGAAATGTATAGCAGCCAAATGGATGTTTCTAAATGTGGAGAGAGACACCGGAGGAACCGGAGAAAAATCCACGCGACCACCGGAGAAAATGCGAACTCCATATATACAGGCGTGAGGGTCGGGATCAAACCCACGATCTCCTGCATACCAGGCGAGGGAGTTAACATCTCGCCTCCGTGGTGAAGTGCATTAACCAGTGCACCATCGCAACACAGTGCCCCATGGTTCCCTAGCAACTGTGGCACAGTATGGCTAAAGAGGAAGATACTTGGAGAATGCAAGCAATATCAACGGTTCAAGTAGAACAAATATCCAAATATAAACATAACCCTACTCCAACCCTCGTGATGTTCGCAATAGAAGGATGAGTTGGCTCTTGAATTGAGAGCTCATTCATTTATAATCTTTCCTGTGCAATTATCTAGTCTGGATACTACATTGGATACTATATTTTAAAACATTTTTACGTAACATATTGTTGTGATAATAATGTAACAATGACAAAAGCAAACCTTTTATTAAACCGCTCAAGTGAATTCTCAAATAAATATCTGTAGGAGTGCTGGCGAAGTGATTGGTGCACTGCGCTGTAAACCTGTTGGCGTGAGTTTGATTCCCGCTCACGGCAAACATTGGTCCAGGTCCTTCTGTTCAACAACCCACATTGACTAATGTGGTGAAGTATGGCCCAACAACCACCATGAATGGCATACTGTGGGGAGGCCTTCATCCAGGGACTATAATCTATGCAAATTAAATGCGAATAATAAACTGTAAGTTTAGGCTAACGGAACGAACAAAACTGCATAAGTGTGACAGAAAAAAGCTTCAACATTGTACGATCGAGAAAGTAAAAAGAAGACCTGAGAGAAGTGACGTTTGAATCAAATTGTGACTCCTAATTGTGACAATTCATAATGGTGTCGTGGTGTGGGCCGTACATTGTTACACAACACATTTCAATGATGTGATGGGTGCATCGGTGAATACACAAGGCCATAAAGAGTATGAGAGCGCCACCACGAAAATAGACGATAGCTTTTGTTCTAAAGTCATGGGCACTCACATACCCTGATGTGGAAGGGTCTCAGGCAATCTGAAGATGGAGGAAAGGGCAACAGATTCTAGCTCTCATGATGCAACCACTCAATGTGAACGTTCACAGCTATGTGAGAAAGCCAGTTGGGGGTTCTACATACCTGGTGCGGTGTGCTATCGGTAAATTATCCAAGTTAACTCTCAAGGTGCAGAAATTGCGATTACAAAAGAGCACACTCAGGTAGCTTGCGAATATGAAATTATAATTTGCAATGTAGATTCATTCCTCAGTTTCATCATCTTCTCGCCAGTTCAATGCTAATCTCTGCCCTTGGCGTGTAGAGAGTAAGAACTGAAAAACAAATTCAATCCCATTCTTACACCACCGCTTCTTTGTGCGCTCAGGGAACATGTCCTTCCGGCATGGCAGGATGCTTCCACAACGGGGAGGGTAACGTTCATTTTCCGGTTGTCTACCCCTGCAGCCCAACACCAGGCATTTGAAGGGTTCTGCGTGAGTGCTCTGACACATCATGTCAGAGCACAAAGCCACCTGACCCACCGCCTGCAGTCTGCATGGCTCGCTCGTGAATGCTACCAGCAAACCCAACTTCGGGGCCACTGCATTCGTTGGTTCTTCTATGCGGCTTTGCTGAATTGCCTGCCAAACATTGCACCAATGAATACAGCTCACAATGTAGGTCATCGTATTGTAGGATGGAAGTAAAAAGAGAATGAAAGCCAGCAGCTTTAGAGACCATTGCACTCTTCATGTTGCTTTTACTTTTTTATACCGAGCTATTATTGGAAGTCCGATGGGTTGCTAAATTTAGATTTGGCTTTTACGGGAAAACTGTTGTTGGACTTAAAATAGCATCTCCCTTCACTATAAAATACCATCTCCCTCCACTATAAAATATCATCTCCCTCCACTATAAAATATCTCCCTTCATAATAAAATATAATCTCCCTCCACTATAAAATATCTCCCTTCATAATAAAATATCATCTCCCTCCACTATAAAATATCATCTAACCTATAAAAGGCATTTTTTGTGTGTCTGTCCGTCTGTCTGTGTGGCCGACACTTGCAAGGGATTTGACTCGCGAACCGTGGGGTTTACGTTTAAAAAAATACACAGGTAGCACGCCATAAGCCCCGTGGCGAGCCAGCGCTATTCCGATTTCACATCTGTCACCTTTAAAGTAGTTTAATTAGCAATTTAGTGATGTTTTGGTTATTTATTTATTAAGTCGCGCCTCCGAGCATGCGCCAAAGTACGCGCCTGCGCATGCTCACCCCTACCAAGTCACACGTGGGGGGGGGCCCTACCAAGTCACACGTGGGGGGGGGGGCCCTACCAAGTCACACGTGGGGGGGGGGGCAATTCTCATTCGTGTGGACACTGTGCAAGGTAACACACACACGCAGATTTACAGCTCCCTTCAGATATTTATTACCATGACTCTTTACTCATTACTATTGCTGTTATTAAATATTTGTAATTGGCCTTTCCACACCTCATTCACAAGTCAAAGTGTTCACTGTTCAAAGGAGCATCTTGTGGTGGTCATTCCTCTGGACTGTCGGGTCAAAGACTGCAATGGACAACTACTGGGTGACTTCCCATCATGTGGTACTCATTTTATTCTGTCAAATGTTGCTTAACTTCCGAGATCTGGTGACATCGGGCCCATGTCATGGTGAAGAGATTGTCACAAACGGCAGAGCTGCAGCCCATTGTTACCCCCACCAGTCTGCTACAAAAACAACAAAAAACATTTTATTTGACCAGGCAAGGCCCACTGAGCTGTGTAGCTCTTTTTCAGAAGCAACTTGGCCACAAATGACAGCTAAACGAAGTGTCTCATCACGTGGAAATGTATAGCAGCCAAATATTCTAATCACATGTTTCTAAACGTGGAGGGAAAAACTGGAGGACCCAGAGGGAAATCCATGCGGCCACGGGGAGAGAGACACGCAAACTGCAATTAGACAGGAGTTAGGGTCGGCATGCAACCCACGACCTCCAGTATACCAAGCGAGGTAGTTAACATCTCGTCACCGTGGCATTATTTCCCCATAGTTCCCCTCACTGGTGAAAGCTGGTTGGTGAGAGTGGGGAGCATAGAAGGACATTGCAGCAACGGACTTCCCCTTCGCTGGCCACCGCGTGGCCTCCGTTGGCCCAATGGCAAGCCGCCCGTCCAGCGTGGCGATGGCTCACGCAAGCACCTGGATCCTTGCTCAGTGCAGGACGGGTGCCAACTCCTCGTCTATTCCATCTCTCATTATGCCGGTTTTTGTGGGCAATTTGACGTTCTGGGTCTTTTTTTGCTCGGCATCTGCGTAAAAATTAAAGAGAACTATCCTAGCTCGACTCTTGCTTAGCTTCTGAGATCTGATGAGATGAAGCACATTCTGGGAGTACTTCTATATATTTAGAATGTATCCCAGGCAACATTGATTGTGTTAAACAGAAGCAAATGAAGAGGGCACCTCCAAAATCATGTAGTCCGTTGTTCCGCGTGAGTACGCGATGACGCCGTGGTTCTGCGTGGAGCGCACGTGCATGCTCAGGGTCACGTCTTGCAGGTCGTGCACCGTGCGGAACTCAGCGTAGCTCCCCTCGGCAAACGACACGACGGAGACGCCTGCAGCCACGGCGGACAAAGCATCGACAAAGGTGAACCGCCGTGGGGATATGCAAAGTCCGTGTCACTGGCAACTTGTGTCAAATTAGCGAAGAGCGGCGAGGATGCGGCCACCGTTAGAGACGTTTGGTCACAGAATCACTGCGCTGTCATTTGCTCATTCAAGCGGTCGTTTAGAAAAAAAGTGACGTTAGGAATAAAACGTGTGAACGTTCGCGACCCTACTGCCTGGTTCACATTTGTTAAAATTTAATTTATTGTGCAATTTACGTTGATTAAAAACCAAATGAGTACACACACACGTGCACATATATGTAACATGTTTATAGCTGAGCAAATATTACAAATTTAACACAACAAATTAATGGGTCCACATTCCCTTAATAAAAAAATGTCACTTGCCATTGGCATTTTGTGTCATTTTCATTTCCTCTGCTGTAACAAATTAACAATGAAAACCAAAATATAACTTACACACGAAGCCTGCTGGGTTGGAGACATCAAGCACGCACTCCCCCTTACTCAGACACGGGTTTGTCAAGCACGGATCACGCACGCAATCTTGTTCTGCAAAACAAAGACCGTTTCAATAGCACATACACCAGGGCATGCACACACACACACACGGTTAACACAAGACCTCACGGCTACTGTGTAGGTGTTCGCCATTGTCCCGTTTGGCTCTCCAATGTAATTTGGAATTGTACCGCGTGTTTTTCAATCAATCAAATCGATCTATATTCATTTGTTACACAGAAAGTTCTATTCAGCCTGTTACCCAGTCAGTGTGCAACGGAGATCCGTGGTGCACCAGCACTGAACAAGAACAACATCAGAGTGGTACGTATGGAGGGATAGGCAACAACAGAACGCGTCAGAGAGACAGGCAAATACAGAGGAGTGATGTCTGAAAAATTCAGAGGAATTCAGTTCTTGAAGAAGCTCCCAGCATGTGGAGGGAAACGTCGGACATCAAGCTGGACAACGCGCGGTACAATCCTTCACACATCATCGCGAGACGTCACTATGAACAAGAAGAAATCTCACTATCATCAACTACTCAAGTTCCAGTTGATGCCGTGGATATATCTTGCCATATCAATGCACAAGCTCTGCAGTGCGCGTCATGGGCCAGTGACTGGCTAAGCAGGATGGATAAACCTCAAATCACTTTCTGATAAAAAAAAATTAAGTCTGATTTCCCTTGAAAACTGAGCAATACAAAGTAGAAATTTGTGATTATCTGCACACCTAGTCAAGCCAAAAGGCAGTGTCAAGGTCCCCTGTCTGTGGATTTTTAATGTTTTAAATTGTGTTATGATTGTTTACGGGGATTGAAAATTATAGTTAATGAAACAATTAAAATGAAGACCTATTAAACCTACACAATAAAGCACTATCCCCAACCGAATAATAGCCTTTTAGACATTTATTTTACATTTCTTATCGTATGACCTGCACAAGTTCTAAAACATTACCGTGTCATGTATTTTAACATATCACTTTCCAAGCTGGAAATATGGTGATTTTGTAGTGGGCGCATGCTACCACAAAGTCACCTTCTAACGCTCATTTTGGAAAATGAAAAAAATGTGGGTAGCATGTGGGAGCCAAATTGAGTTTTATATTACAGAATTAAAATGTAAAAACGCAGGTATATTTTAGTCATTAATCTTTTGCAGTTATTATTCAACCCGTTATCGACTCAATCTCTTTGGACTCTAGATCTAAAGCAAGCCGACACTGCTGATGAGACACCGAATATCAAAACCAGTGAAGAGTTTTCTTCATGTTGAACCAATTCTGCTGAAATTATGCACTCCCCAGAATGTCATATGACTGATGGGATTTGTATTTTTTTTTTGTAAGTGGAGGGTCATATATGTCAAAGAGGCACATTGTATGCTAATTTATTTTGCTATGAAGAATGGCCATTACCCAAAACCTCCCCTATTATAAATGTATCCCTCTTTAGGACAGTGCCATCGACGAACACGTTGGCTTTTTGTTATCTCTCGCCATGGCCACTACGAACCGGAGCAGAGGCAGATGCCGGCAACGCGGTGCTTGGGGGACACGAGGCTGAGCCGCGCCGTGCTGTGCGTCGACACGGCGCCATCCTCCAGCGTCGCCCTCTGGAGGCACTGATCCTGGGGGCAGCCGCCGGTGCCCGCGGCGCAGGAGACGAGTGGGACGCCCAGCGCCCGCACCCCCGTGCTCTCCTCCAGCCGCGCCAGGCTGGCGTTGAGCGCTTGCGCCAGCAGGGCCGGCCTGTAGAAGTAGGTGCTGGGCTTCTCGGCCACGAGCAGCACGTCCAGCTGGCGTGCCCCAGCGGCCGTCTGCACGCCGAGCACGCGGATCCCTCCGTGCTGCACCCCACGCAACGCCATCAGTCAGCAACAACAACAACAACAACAAAGACGACAATGACGACAACAAACTAAACAAAACTGTAACTGTTTCTGTCGTGGACGCATAGCCTAATTGTATGCCAGACTATGTGCACTTTGAGGCCACGTAAAGTGTCGAAGGCTCGCTGGCCGGTCACGGGACAGACCTAGGTGCCATGGGCTTGACGGACCGAGATGACCGGCAGATGAGTGAACAAGCGTGCGCGTGCGTATCCGCATAATTCCACGAGTGACAAAGACGGCCCCTGCAGCCATGAAGACTGTTGGGGGGGTAGGTTGTCAAATCAAATCACGAGCACATCTAGTTTCTGCGCCACTTTTATAGCGCAAGGCTATGACGAAGAGCCAAGTCTGTTAAACAACAGCTGAAGGTTGCGAAATATAGGCCAGAGGACACTGGAGCTTCACGACGGGGAGCGTTCTGCGGTGGCGGCAAGCATCAGAGACGATCGTTTATTCTTCTTCCTTCTTCTTCTTCAGAAAAATGTACGAGAGCCTCGGGCAAGCAGTCTTCGTATGCATCATCTTTCTGACTCTGAGCAAAAGTGACCATACTACCGCCAAACTATTTGCACACAGAGACATCATCTTCCCACCACTAAAGCAACAAGCACGAGCGCGGTGTGCGGGCGTGCGCGCGTGCGTACCTTGAGGTTGAGGATGCTGCGCAGGGCGCGTTGGAAGCTCGGATACGTGACGCCGACGAACTTGTCAGGAGAGATGTCGGCCAGGCGCAGCACCACCGAGGCGTTGAGCTCCTCGGCCGACACGCGATGCGCCCGCACCGTCACGTTGGCGAGGCGCGCGTGCTTGCCGTCGCTCACCGTCACGTTGAGGTCGTATCGGCCCGGGTCGAGGCCCGGCAGCGCGATCACCGTGCCGTCGCGGCTGTTGACGGCGAAGAGTCGGCCGTGGTCCGAGTGCAGGCTGTACGTGAGCGTGTCGTACACGTCCTGGTCCGTGGCGTGGATCTTGCCGATGACGCCGCCGGGAGCCTCGGCGTCTCCCGGCACGGTGATGGCGATCTCGAGCGGGATGATCGCCGGGGGGTGCACGCTCTCCTCCGTGATGCGCACGCGGACCTGGCAGGCCGACGAGAGGTGCGGGTGTCCGCTGTCCTGGGCCTGCGGTGCCCGTGTCCGTGGAGTTGAACAAAGTACAAACACGCAAATGCACACGCGCGCAAAATGTTTTCGTTAGAGACAAAAATAACAACGTGTATTCTTAAACAGGCGATAGGCTGAAACTAATCCGTGTTGTATACTAACTCATTACGCATTGTTGTGGAGCATTATGGGTAAAAGCCTCTAAAACCAAAGGGCTGTTCTGTGTCTCCACATATAAATACACGTATTTGTTTAGTCCATCGGCCTATTGGCTCTCTGGCTCGCTGGCTCACTAGCTGGCTCACACTGGCTCGCTGGCTGACTAGCTGGCTGGCTCTCTGGCTCGCTTGTTCTCTGGCTCGCTCACTGGCTCACTGGCTGGATCTCTGGCTCGCTCGCTGGCTCACTGGCTGGTTGGCTCTCTGGCTGGCTCACTGGCTGGCTCACTGGCTGGCTCTCTGGCTAGCTTGTTCACTGGCTGGCTGGCTCGCTGGCTGGCTCTCTGGCTAGCTTGTTCTCTGGCTCGCTTGTTCTCTGGCTGCCTGGCTCGCTGCCTGGCTCACTGGCTCACTGGTTGGCTCTCTGGCTCGCTTGTTCTCTGGCTGGCTGGCTCGCTGCCTGGCTCACTGGCTCGCACCTGCACGGTGAGCAGATGCTCGCGTCGGCCACCGCTGGCGAATCTGACGGCGGCGGTGACGACGCCCGCCTGGTCGATGGCGAACTCGCTGCCGTTGTTCCCGGCGACGATGCTGAAGCCGAAGGGGGGGCCGTTGTGCGACGCGTCCATGTCCATCACAAGCAGCCGCACTATGCTGGTGCCCGGAGGCTGATTCTCCTGGGGGGCGGCAGGGGGTGGGGGGGAGAGGGAGTGAGTGGGGTCACACGTTCCACCAGTTGGGTCACACGTGCCACCATGTCATCAACCCGTTACAGAAAAACACCAGACCTTGTGAATGGGAACAGCTCTTAACTGTGAAAATGCGAGACATGTCACGTAAACTTCAATAGCTGAATGGACGTAATCACCTGCTATAGCAGGGTATGATAGTCTGAAGTGTAAATACAACGATAGTAATGTAATCTGCGGGTTTTTCCAACACCATCAAAAAAACACTCCATAATATTTCTTTCAGACAAAAAAACGTGAAATGAAAAATGTTGAGGCACTTCAAGATGTGATTTTGAGATGGGTTTGTTGCAGAAGATAATTTCCAGCACCATAATGGTTGGTGTTTTGGTCAACACATTTTCAACAGGGGTATTGGGCTTTTCATGAAGAGCCACATTGTATGAGAAACTTTTCCCACACGCAATATGTTTGTCCTTTTCAATGAGAGTGGATTTCCAATAAGAGAAAGTCAATTTTCCTTTAGACTTGAAAAGTGTGTCTTTCAGGATTTGCCAAAAAGATTCCGTGTAGAAAAATGACAAGTGAAAATATGCTGTCCAATGACCATATGAGAGCTAAGGACATAGAACTGCATCTGCTTGTCATGATAATCCAATTAATCCCAAAAATAAATGCATAATCAAGTGTCCTATGTGTACCGTGAAAGTCTTTTTTAGCCAGTGGCAAGGATTATTCGATCCACTATTGTCAGCAGTCTTTCAAAACTAAACTGTGGACACTAAAGGGCTTACCACCCCTGAGACAATGCAGAATATTAAAAAGCCACCATGCAGTGGCTGCCAGTCTTGTTATTGAAGTGCGTGGAGAACTAGCGGTGAAGAACCGCCGCATACCCTGGGTGTGCGTGCCACACAGAAATGATGACCACCATATTTTTGGGATAGAAACTTCATCAGGGTCGGTTTACTCTGAATTTTTGTCGCCGTCGTCATTTGGAAATAATGAAGTTTTGTATTAAGGGACCTCACTTAAGATGTCAACAAACAAGTCAAATGGAAGTTGATGATTGGTAAATCACAAAGAGCAGCTGAGAGGGGAAGATTAAATAATACCACATTATAGCCATTGAGACAAATAACACGGGAAACAATTTCACTCACATAAGCCTTAGCCCATGACAATAACAGTAAACAGATTTGTTCGTGGCATTTACATTGCTGACAATTCCAGCAACAGCAGCACAATTGTATAACAAAGCAAGCGGAGGTCAGGCTCTTTGATCATCAGACAGCGAGCGAGTGCATTCGCGCTTGAAAAATCCACTGCGAAACAGGATTATGGAAGTGAGTGCACATTGGGTTCAATTCCCAGTCTGGAGCAGCGCTCTGTAAAGGATTACCCACGAACCATCAGAGCATCTCCCTACACTTTCACAACTTGCAAGGCTAAACACACTAATGCAGTAGTTTAACCTGCAGCCATATGAATCATACATGTAAACATGCACATGAGCAATTGCCAAGAGAAAAAAATGCAAACATGTAAAGGGTTTTAAACAAAATATTTATAATCATAATAATGTGGCCTCCAATGAGGCTGGAAAAGGCACTTTCAATTATTGTTACAACTCGCTAAAGCAAACTCAGAGGGTCCTTTTGATGGCGTGCACACAGTTAATAGCAGAGATCGATATTAAAATGAGGGTATTATTTATTTGCTTTTTCATTTATTGCTGTATTCCAAAGTCAAAGTTTTGTTGGCAGCATCAGCCATGGCTGCATCCCTGCCCCACCATGTTCTGAGGCAGCCCTGTACTACAATACCACAATACAGGGCTGTTGCCTCAGGGCTGCAGAGTGAAATCAGCACGGTTTGGTCATAAACGATTGCCGTCTGGGTCTACATCTACCCTTTCTTTGTCTGTCATAGCGGTCACCCTTTATTTTTAAATCAACCTGCAATCATTCTTCACATTCAATTGTATAAATCTGCCTTCCACATTTCGACTGTCAGAAATGTTCTTCATATGCAATGTCATCCGATTCAAAGTATTATTCCTATTGCAATCAATGCCCAAATTCCCAGACAGTACACTTTCATCAGACAACATTCATTCATATGCAAATGCATAGAGCTTCATGACACACACATTTATTGGTGGGTACATTATGCCAGACAGGAACTCGCAGGAATCATTCGGTTTGGAGATTGAGAAACATATTTTCTAGTACCGGCGATGCATTTAGCCCACTCTGATGAGCATGAACAAATCTCCGACTGTTCCCAACTGCAGCCAACTGCGGCCTTTCCAATGAATGTAGTTGGAGAGTCGGTACCAATCCATTAGGTACGTTGGACAAGACTAACAGTCGGTACTGATCCATTAGGTATGCTGGACAACACTAACACATAAGTTGCTTTCCAAAACGTTGGCCATGGTTCACGCTGAATAAGGAGGGTTCAGTTTGTGAATAAATAAACAGCGCAACGTTAAAAACAAAGGTGTGCGGAAGGAAAAAGAGAAACCAGAAATTTGGCTTACGTCGATGCGATGGTAAACACGATGGCAAGCTTACCTGGATGACGGCCGTGTAGCTTTGCTCCGAGAAGGAGGGAGGGTTGTCATTGATGTCAGAGATGTCGACGTTTACGAGCACGTCGGCCGACAGTGGCGGGGTCCCGTTATCCGTGGCCCGCACCGTCAGCGAGTAGCCAGACACCTACGCACACCCCCAAAACGGCGTGGAGTTAATGACGCCTGGCCGTGTCGAATACCGAAATCGATGTGTCAAGATATCGCACGCACAAGGACGGTGCAGCGGTTAAAACACCGGACTTGCAATCCAGAGGTAGCTGGTTCAATCTCCCAAGGACGCAGTTAAAACAGCGGGCTAGTTTCTTAAATCAACCCGGCAGGATTAGAGAGCACACCACAGCCAGCACTTCTAATGCAACTGGAGATGAAGAAAAGGTGGCGATGACAAACAGCCATTTTAAAAATGCACGCATATGGCGAACGGTCAAGGCCCCGCACGACCGGAGAGCGTGCGGCGGCAGTTGCGGCAAGGGGTCACCTTCTCCCTGTCGAGCTCCCGACGCACGCGCAGGGTGCCCGACACCTCGTCGACGGCGAAGCGTTCCTCCTGGTCCCCGCCGACGATGGAGTAGCGCACGACGCTGTTGAGCGGCCCGTCCCGGTCCTCGGCCACCACCTGCAAAGGAAAGAGGTGGAGATGATGACGATGAGCGTGGCGATGACGATGAGCATGGCGACGACGCACAAAGAGCAGTCTGTGCCAAGGCATCTTACACTGCTGTGACGTTCGTCCAAATACCGCTCGCAACCCTGAGTGGGAATAATCTAATAATCGTGAGGGTCACGTGCGGATATATCTCTTATCTGCAGGCATGCTCAGATAAACACTCTCACGTATCTAAAGCACAAGGGAGGGAAACTAAAACCATCCTGGTACCAATACTCGCCACATGCCATCGACTTTGAATGTAAAGCAAATGCTAAATGATCAGCGTCGTGCGCTACTCCATCTTCGGCGGGGACCAGGAGGAACGCTTCGCCGTCGACGAGGTGTCGGGGACCCTGCACGTGCATCGGGAGCTCGACTTGTTGACATTTTTTTACATTTTTTTTACAAAAAATGTCAACAACTCACGAGATAAGAATGATAAAGTACGTATTGAAATTCAGGTATGGCGAGAGCCTATTTGCAAGAATGCAACTTAGACTTGAGGCAGGGTAAAGTTGAGAAGACAAGCGGCCTGCCACATCTGCACTAGAGGTCGGGCCTGTGTGTGTGTGTGCGCGTGTCTGGATGTTAATTAATTATTTTCTATTTGGGTCAGCCAAAGAACAAAAAATGAATCCTTGTGGAGGAGCTTCGTACCCCCGATAGCCCCATCCCTCGAAGCAGTCGCCCCCCTTGTGATTCATGTTGTTATTATTATTATTATTACTTTCTTTCAACACGGGTTAGTGCAGCACGCAAAGTGATTGTGGCTTGAGCTACACAAATTATCCAACGTGTCAATCTCCACTGTAACGTGAGGTTTTATTTGTAAAGTCAAAATTATATAATTTGTCTATCCATTTCCTGAATAAATAAGTTCCCATGATAAACAATGTGCAAGAATAGAAATTGATAAGAACATATTTGACAACAATGCCTTGGATGTATATGCTGTTCGTTGGTGTTTATAGGTCTTCGAATTACTTTCTAAATGTACAACTACTGGTATTTACATCTTCTAATGACTTTATTAATGCACACCTCTTGACAATAAAGGATGTATACATTTGAGTGAATTGAAACAAAACATTTAAGATTAACATATCAGGATAATCGAAATGGCACAATCAACAACAGAATAAAATGTGTGTGTGTTTGTTGTCTTGTACAGCAGATTGATGGGAGGCTCTCAGAGCCACTGCCAGGGAGTTTCTGAGATCCTGCGATTACACCTCTGGGTAGAGACAAGTGACAAATAAATGTTGTCTCCTCGTAACCATCTCAAGGCAACTACGCGACCAGGCAGATGTCAAACTCAATATTCGTTGCCTTTTTTGCCTTGGCATTTATTTATTTAGTAAAGATTTTATTACTTTATTCTTTGTTTCATTTTTCTTTTTAATCACTTCATATCGATTTTTTTTAGGAAATGTCTCTCAGAAACTGGGTTCTCATCGGCGAGCGGAAAATAAACCCGGATGTGATGTTCCATCTTCGGAAGAGAACTCGCACGAGGGAATAGACGAAGCACAAGAATAATGTTTATGTGAAATCAGAGGGGTTTGTATATTTAAGTATATATGTGCATGATAAAGAAGCAACTTCAACATGATTTATTATATGACCATTATTTAGGAAAGTCATAATTTTGACAGAAACTTATGATAATTTTCCAGAAATTGACACCCCCTATGAGTGCTATAGAACAAATACGGACACTAAAAATATTGTGACCGATATGTGTGAACAGCTGTCATCTTATTTGTGTGGTGTGGATAAAAAAACTATAGAAATATTTTGACCATGTAAGGTCCACTGAGCTATAAATCTTTTTTTTCAGAAGCAACCTGGCCACAAATGATAGCCCAACGAAGTGGCTTATCACGTGGACATGTTTAGCAGCCAAATACTCTTAACGCATGTTTCTAAATGTGAAGGGAAAAACCGGAGGACCCGGAGAAAAATTCACGCGAGCACCGGGAGAACATGCAAACTCCAAATATACAGCAGGCATCAGGGTTGGGGATCGCAATAATTTGGACTTTAACGTCTTTGAAAGACTGACCTCAAAAAGAGGACTGTCTGGTAACACCAGGACAGGTGGCAAACCACAGCTGGAAAATGCCTTTCAAGTTAATGCCGTTAACGTTATGATGGTATCGTTATAATGAAAACGCGTTGTTATAAGTCAATGGCGTTACCGTGATGACGGTGTCGTTATGATGAAAACTGATTGTTCTAAGTTCACAGCGTTACCGTGATGACGGTGTCGCCAGGCAAGGCGTCTTCGCCCACGACGGCGCTGTACACGTGCCGGCTGAACTCTGGCGCGTTGTCGTTGACGTCGGTCACGTTGATGTTCACCGTGACGACGCCGCTCAGCGAGGGCGTTCCCCCGTCGCTCGCCTGCACCGTCAGGTAGTAGTCCCGAGACGTCTCATAGTCCAGGGCCTTCTCGACGCTGATCACACCTGGCACACGCGTCGTGCGCGTGAGATTCGACCGAACGACCGGCGCCGACCGAGACCGCCGACCGAGGCCACGTGACGCGCGCGAACGTTGGGAGTCTGTTGCCGTCGCCTTCGGAGGTCCACAAAACCGGTTCTGAAACTTTTAACTTCATGTTAGGGGGCCTAGCGAACTACACGTATCTTGAGAGGAAAACTACGAGGAAATGCACCATCTTGAGTACGATCCTGAACCTGACGCCTGTTTATTTGGGTTTTGCGTGTTCTCCCTGTGGTCGCGTAGATGTTTCTCTGGGTCCTCTGGTTTCCCCTCTACATTTAGAAGCATGCGTTTAGAGTAGTTGGCTGCTGGATAGCTCTTCTGAAAAAGAGCTGTACAGCTGAGTGGGCCCTACCTGGTAAAATAAAAACAGTTGAATAATTTAGTTTTGGTTTAGTTACCAACACCATGGCAAACATAGTGGAAGGTTAGAGAGACGAACCTCAAGTAAAACTATCTTCACACGATCAAGCATGTGCGTGTGTGCACAGCGTCAGTGGCCAAGCTTAAGCAGCTGTCTAATTATTATTATTTAATAACGGACATCAACCTTCTTGACATTCAAGCGTTTAGAGGCACGCACATGAGACGCAATCCATCACGGTACGCCTCGAGCGTCCTCTGCGCATCACCCGCCCTGCGAGGGCGAGGCGGCCACCGGCGAGGGGCTCGAGGGGTCAAGGTCCCGGGAGCGCTGCACAGACAGCACCCTGTGAAGACCCCTCGCCATCGAGCCCCGCGACTGGCAGCAAATGCGGTTTGCATGTAGCACATTTGCATGGAAGCAGTCCGATTCATACTGAAGAAAAATATAGATGTGGATTAATGCAAGTGTTTGTAAGAAAGGCAATTTCACGTAACATTTGGCTGAACAAAAGCCAAATTGCCTTAAAATTGTTGTTCTTGACAACCTTTTCTCTGACAAAATTCCATCAAATCTCCTCGCGAGAAAAACACGTGAATTTGGCCAACCCTCTTGCGACAACGAGAGGCCCCGGCCTCGCAGGTCCATTCCCTCGGTGTTCACAACCATCATATTAAATCCTGCCGCTCGACAGATATTTCTGGTGATTTCAGAAACACAATTTTCTCAAGTAAAAGAAAAACGATGCACATGCAACACAACACAAAAACCCTTTCAGAACGTGCACAACCTTTGCACATGGCCAGCCACAGAACACACGGATGTGAAGATTGCCAGTGTTCATTCCCTTCAGAAAATTTGTGACGGAAATATACGTTATCAAAGTTTGTATTTATTTTTAGTCAACGATGGCCACGGGTGGATGAAAATCGTCAATTGTAACGATGACTAATGACTGCCCACCAAAGATCAAAGTGTGACGAGGCACACTCAGCTTGTCTGAATTAAGATGCCCCGCCTCGAACCGCCGCCGGCCCTTACCCAGCTTGTGGTCGATGCTGAACATGCCATGCTCGTTGCCGCTCACGACGCCGTAAGTGACCTCCGCGTTGGCGCCCGCGTCCTTGCTGATGGCCAGCACGGAGAGAACGGCGGAGCCCGGCGCCGCGTCCTCCGGCGCCGCCGCGTGGTACTCGCGCTGCTCGAAGGCCGGCGGGTTGTCGTTGACGTCCAGGACGGCCACCGAGACCCCCACGGTGGAGGTGAGGGGCCGGAAGACGTCCCCGTCCTCCGCGCGCACCGTCAGCTCGTACACGGCCTGGTGCTCGCGGTCGAGCGGCCGCTTGAGGCTGATGATGCCCGAGCGCTCGTCGATGGCGAAGTGACCCCCGGCCGAGTCCAAGAAGGAGTAGGTCACCTTGCGGTTGAGCCCTGCGGCGCGGACAGGGGATCAGAGAGGGGCTCGCCCACGAAGGAAGGCGCGGAAGCCGCCTCGCTGCTGCTGCACTGCTGCTGCTGTGCTGGAGAGCCGAGTGAACACTTCGTGTTCGGCGACACAATGGTGGCGGCACAATTGGGACACGAAACCGCGGGGGAGAATTGCGCACGCGTGCAAAAAAGACACCACAAACACACACGCACACACACACGCACGCACACACACACGCACAGACGTACGCACGCACACACGCACGCACACACGCACGCGGACGACGGCGTCGCCCGCCGAGCGTCGAGGCCGCGGCGGCGGCGGCACGTACCCAGGTCGGAGTCGGTGGCCTGCACGCGCGTGAGCAGCGTCTCCACGGCCGTGCTCTCGTACACGGACACGGCGTAGTGCGACGCGGGGAACTGCGGCGCGTTGTCGTTGACGTCCTCCAGGCTCACGAGGATCTCCGCCTGGCAGGAGCGGCCGCCCCCGTCGGTGGCGCGCACGCTCAGCGCGTAGGCCGGGACGGCCTCGCGGTCCAGCGGCGCCAGGGTGAAGAGCTCCCCTGCACGACGCGCGGTTGACACGTCGCGAGATGTTAACTACCTCGCCTGGTAGGCAGCGGGTCGTGGGTTTGATCCCGACCCTGATGCCTGCTGTATATTTGGAGTTTGCGTGTTCTCCCTGTGATCAGGCCGCTTCTGGAAAGAGCGATCTAGCTCAGTGGGCCTTACCTGGTAAAATTAAAATAGTTCAGTTATGTTTTGATTTAAAGCTTTCGTGACTGCAGGGATTCATATTCTTGGTTCTTTCGGTAAAGTCACGTAGAAGAGAAATAATAAAATAATAAAAAATACAAATATAAAACAATTAAATTCTCACGACGTTTCGACTGCAACACAAGCAATCATCATCAGGTGTGAAATCCACGGCAAGAAAATTTGAAAAAAGAGGCAATCGAAACGTCGTGAGAATTTTATTGGTTAATATTTAGATTTTGTATTATTTTATTATTTACCTTCTATGTGACTTTTACGTCACAATGCTGTACCGCGAATGGTTGTTGCCAAATACATACTTGGCATCGATGATGGCAACAAGCCTACCACAAAATCACCCAGCCATGTGCCCAATGCATCAGATCTTATAAGCCAAGCTGAACCAAGCCTGAAGAGTGCTTGGAGGGATGACCGTGTGGCAGTATTACAGGCTGCAGAGGTGTATTGTGGGTAGATAAGGATGGTACAGCAAAATCTATTGTTGCACTGCAATTCTACATTCTCTTGTCAGATAGAGGAACGTGTAGATCCATGCTCAGGTGTGTGCATGTTGACCTTCTTTCACAACGTACTTAGCCAACCGTGCTAATCGGAGGTGGGTCACACGGGCCTAGCCGCACTTAACCAAAGTGTCGCTGAGAGTGCTGGATGACAGCCGTTTCATTTTACCGATCGGCCGCTTTGAGTTTATTTTGTCTAACCAGGTGAGAGCTCCAGAGACGAGGACAGTCTGGGCCACCAAAATGGCAACAGCAATAAAATGAATCAGTCGAGGAAAGACGCACGCACGAACGCGTACACGCGCACGCACAGCAAACTGTCGTGCGACGGCTGCGTGCGTTACCCGTGGCGGAATCCATTCGGAAGTGCTCTGCTCCGGGCCCGTGCAGCGTGTACTGGATGGCGGCGTTGGCACCGACGTCGGCATCCCGGGCGGAGACGAGCAGCAGGAAGATCCCCGGAGCGACGTCCTCCGCCACGGCCACGGCGTAGAGCAGCTGGGGGGGGGGGGGGGGGCAGCGGCAGTGCACAGGAGAGATGGCAGTAATGGTTAGAGCACGCCCGCACGCACGCACGTCGTACACACGTACGTACGCACGCACGCAGGCACGCACACATGCACGCACGTACACACGCACGTATGGCCGGGGCGGCTGCTCACGCGCAATGACCTGCACCAGGCCACACGGCTGGCGTGGCCGAGTAATCTCTTGGCTCAGTGAGCACCGGTTCACAGAGAGCCCTGCCACCTGATGACGCAGGTGGAGACCATTCTATGCCGCTTTGGGGATGAACAGATCCCGTGCCATTACTCTAAAGAACCTTCATCATCCACTGAATCACAATAATGGGCTAATATTAATGAATGACTATAGTATTTAGGGATATATATAGCAGGGAAAGTCCACGTGTACAAAGACTGCTTCGGGAGAATACATTACGTATTTACGTGCGCGCGCGTTTTAGCCCTGCATAATTGGCGTTTTCACTTGTGTCGTGACATCGCGGACATGTGGGTGTAGTACTAGCCCTAAAGGGGCTCGGTGAGCGCTGAGTGACACCACGCTCAGCGTGCAGTGCCGACCCCTATAGGAGGGGGTGTGAGGGTGCCGGCCATGAATGGGGTTAATGTAGGCCATGGCACTCTGGTTGACCCTGGAAGGCACGTGATGGGTAAAGTCTACACAGGGGCCCCACGTGGGGGCTAGGGGTGGTCACGTGTCGGGGCGAGATCCTGCTAGAGGATTCGAGAAGGTGGTCGTGGCCAAGGGCGGAGCCAGCCACGACCAGGGAGCATATAAACCGGGTCCCCAGAGGGACCGGGAGTCAGCGTTGCCGTTGTTATCCTGAAGATCTACGTTCTACGTCAGAAAAGAATCACCAACACGTGGACCTGGGGCAGTTACCCCTTAGTTGTTGGTATCAATAAATGTGTTGCCTCCAAAGAGTACGTCTGCGACTCAGTTGAATCCACTACACTTGCATACACCCAAGCTAACGTCATTTTAACTGACAGGATAAAAACTACTTCCATATTGCAATATTGGCCACCGCATTCAAAAATACCACTCAAGTTTACTTCGTCATAGTGGGGGGGATGGGGGAATCAAAAGCTCGCCAGTTGGGTGCTGCGCAGGTTTCACCGCTTAAAGCCTGGGGACAGCGGAGAGCATTTAAAGGGCAGCCAAACACCGCGACGGTTTTTGGGCTTCATTTGGCGAATGAAAACAAAACAAATTAGCGGGAGAGAAAAAAAAATAGTAAAAAATCAATCACCTGCATCCCGACCGACGATGGCTTACTCGAGTGTCGGCACACGCAGGAGCATTTGGGCAAGGGATCTTGGCGAATGATTTTACCAGTCAATATCCCTCACCTGGAATTGCTTTTGGATTCAGGCAACAAAAAAACCACACAATATCTACTGTCGATTCTCAGCACTGAAATGAAGCCACGCTAAATAAATTGGCGAACGAAAGACTCGTTCGTGCGAACAACATCGCCCGCTCAACACAATCCCTTTTGTGTTTGCTTGCTCAGATAACCCCTCTCTGCTGAGCTGAGGGAGTTGCCTCTCGGCTAATATTTCAAAAAGACAACTTACTGCTGAAGACCATGGCAAATGTGTTCACATGTTCTTTGTGCAGAGGATAATATATTTAGCTTTCAGTTCCGGGGCAGCAGGTTTGATGTACACTGAGTGGCTATTGATGACCACACGATCTCTTCACCTGCCTAAGCTGTATAGGTCGAGTCCTAAACAGCTTCAGGTGGGGGGTACGTGTGGGAACCTACAGCTTTTACAAATCATCTAAAAGGTTTAAATTGTCAGCAAACTTGAGCTGAGAGAGCACTATGCAGGGGACCGATGTTAACCTTATGTAGATGCAATTTACTCACCAACCTATTTTGGCATTTAAATATTTTCAATAGTGTTGAACATGTAAAAGCCCAAGTGAGAGTTCAAGTGAAGCTACTTGCTTCGGTAGTTTAATCCGCCAATCTCTCTGTGCTGGACTTCTGCATATTTTTACACCACTGAACCCCTCTAGATGGTATTTTGCCTACTCCTCCTCACACAGGCCACATGTATTGCAAGAGGAACGAGCACCCACACTTCACCCCACCACACATGACCTGCCGATAAACTAACGGGAGCGTACTAATCTATATCGCTGGGTGGACAGAGCTGAGCTGCATTTTTTTCAAATGCCGAATTACTTCAACTGCGCATACCAAGACACCGCACGCACGCGCGTCCAACTTCCTCCACACCGTACGTAGCCAACCGCGCCAATGGGAGGTGTGGGGGGGGGGAAGGACAACAAACTAAACGCACAAAGCGACGGCCACGGACGACACGGGTGTGCAGGTCCCACGAGAGAAGGGCGCGGTTCTGGGCACCGCCCTCCCCCCCGTACCTTGTCGCACACGGGGCTGTTGTCGTTGGCGTCCAGCACGGCGACGTCCACGACGGCCTTGCTCACAAACGCGCCGTCCGTGGCCGTCACTTCGATCTGGTAGCGGTCCCTCTCCTCCCGGTCGACCGGCTGCTTCAGGTGCAGCTTCCACTCGCCCTGAATGTAGCCGATGGCGAACTGGCCGAGCGGGTCGCCGCCTGCGGTGCGATACGGACGCACGCCGTCTCTGTCACACTCCGACATCGCCGCCGCCGTATTTCTCCGTATCGCGCCTCGCAACGAGGACGACGACGCACGCCCCGAAGCGCCGAGGGAATAAAGGAGCACGATTGAACAGAGCGCTGCACGCGGGAAGTTAGAATCGTATCAAAGTTTCTAACGACCAATAATGTTGGTTTCCCACTGGAACGTATAAAAAGCGAACACAGAACAACTAATTTGTCCTGAAATAAAATGATGCTGGAGAAATATGAAGAATTTTACAAGGCTTTAACACGGCGAGTTTTCAATTTCCTGTAAAATTGGGATACATGTTCATCGGGAATTATTTGAAATCTCGGGGAAAATCTGAGTCACTTTTTGAGGCCATCATAGCACTCATCATTATTGCTCATTTTCGCTTCAGTTCTCCTCGGATTTGAATTCTGAATCTCAAAATCTTTTGAATGTGAGTTGCTCTCTAACCACCACCTTCATGGTGCTTAGCGAGCAGCTGGTGATGGTAGCATACATTTTTAAAATATATAAACTTTATTTTACAAAGAAACAGAACAGTGACCGTGCATCTAAGTTCCTTCAAGGAGAAAGAAACCCGTTTAATTTGGTTTGAAATAAGCGAGTGCATTCAGGACACCGGTCAATACATCCCACTTGAGGCCGGTTGAAGGTCAATTAAACAAGATCCACTCTCATTATCCCAGAGCAATTCCGTTGTTTACCGCAGCAGTGACACCGTCATTCGAATCTCTATAACCGTTATCATCTGTGGAAATCCACTGATTAATGCATTCATAAATGCGTTCAATACACTGAGCTCGTGTGCATTTGACTTTTTTTGCTAAAAATCCTCATGGAGCAAACAAAGTACAGTGTGCGGTTCCCTGTAAAGCCAAAGGACGCAGGTTCCACGGGTCACAATTTTGTCCAAAACAATTTATGGCTTCTTGTCCTTGACGCTGACCCTCGGCTCCCAGTCGAGGCACCCAACAGCTGACAAAAATCAAGGTGATGGAAGCCCACAAATCCTGCTGAGCGTTCCGTCGCCGTCACGTCGCAGCGCACGGACAAAAAACACTCAGCACGGTCACCCCGCCGTGACTTTTCAAAGACGTGGCCGAAAACGTTCAAGACTCAGTCAGACCATAGCGTCCTCCTGAGAGTTGGAATAACAAGGCGAGGACACTGCGGTGGAGATGAGGCTGCCTTTGGGGTTTGACAATTTAACTGTTAAGTGTGCATATTCATCTCCACTCAATGGTTCTCATCAGGACGCCTGGCTGTCCTTACGAAATATATTTTCAAATTAAAAATGTGTCATTCAAAAGGCATGAACCAAGTGATAAAGATTGGCTGCATCTTAATCGAGTACGAGCTTTACTGTCTCTACCCTTCGTTCGGTGTCGGACTTTCATTTTCCGCTCTCTCACTTCTGCAGTGTGAATATGTCGCGTGGAATCAGCAGAGCCGGCATCAAAAGGGGAAAATATCCCTGAATATGGATGGAGGCATCTCACAAGAAAATTAATTAATGCTGCGAGGTACTCCATCTGAGCTGTACTGCATGAGTGGAACAATATAAAATCGGCGATGGTAAAGCGTGGACATGAATTTAGTTTGGAATTCTGAGGTAAGGCAGGTGACCTCCGAGGTCAGAACGTAGAGCTGGCATTGCTGAGATCCTTGGTTGAAATTGAGGCAGCCATCTGTGATTAAATGGGGGGATTCCCAAGTGTGGTGAGTTGATGGGCTCAGCCAAGTCGTCATTGACCGCTCATTTCATGAATATTCACTTCTGCACTTAATTTGGCCAAACGTTCTAGCGTTGAGAAGTAAATAACGGTCTGGCTCTTGCGAGGAACGTTCCTCTCGTACACAGAGGGGGTGGGGAAGTGGTGGCCCTCGACTTGCTGACCGGAGATCACTTGAAGGGATCGCAAAAGGAAGCTCTGTGACATCGGCTTCTGTGGACCATCATCTTTAACACCACGAGTTGGACCGCTCTGCCAGAAATACGAATGGGTCCTTGGTCTCGTGACACGACGTCGATAGCACATTTGGAATAATGGCTCTGGAAAAACATGACAAAAATGCAAGCAATCGTCTTCACCTGAAGACGATTGCTTGTGTGGCGATCGAAACGTCGTGATCTATGATTTTTTTCTACCTACGTGACTTGACCGAAAGAACCAAAGAGTATGGATTCCTGCAGTCACGAAAGCTTCAAATCAAGAAAAAAAATGCATTTCACGAAAACATATTAAACAACCTTCAGCCAAAATTTTTATGTCAAAAATTAGCTACTACTGTGAGGATTAACTTCAAGTCGAAAAAAATCCGCCCATCACCTTTGAAAACAATTCAACTAATACATTAAATCATTTACTTTTAAAGCATACAGTAGAACAAGAGTACACGACTCTCTTGCATGAGTTATCCCATCTCAGATGTAAGTTCAACAGCACCACACTGTGGACTGGCTGGGGATTGCACTTAAATGTTACTTAAGAGTTGTAAGCAGCCTTGTCCCTCTCTCACTGCAATGGACCTGTCACCACTCCGTTTTGGTGAAGGCCAAGCTCATTAAACACATCAAATTCAGAAGATCAGCCTGGGTTTCGACTACGTTTATGAGCCAGGGTTCACAGTCTGGAAAGATCGACCATTACGCAAACTCCGGTCATTTATAATATTTTGTAAGGATCAATGGATGTGTAATTCATATCACTCATAGAGAAGTCATCGATCCTTGACAGGCTGTCCCAAGTTACTTGTCCTCATATTGACAAGATTAACAGGATTCGTGGGAAAACTTTAACCCATTTCTCACAAACAGCGGCTGCTCACTTTGCACCCCAACAACTGTCCGAGAATGTGAGAAGGTCACGGGAATGTTTGACAGAGTCGCCATCAGTGGTACTCAACTTAATTTCCCAATCACTTGCACGTAAATAAATCAAGCCCTTTTGAACAAAAAAGCCACTTTTCAGAGCCACCTGCAGTATTTCCTCTGAGTAGCATTTAAAGTGTATTGTATCTGCGAATTAAGAATAGAAAGCACCTAATTTCTCTCCCTGGGACACTTTCAAAAGCAGCAGGAACAATTATTTTGACTGATTAGCATTAGTGGCAGATAAACCACGTGTAGATGAAAATTGTCTTGTTAAATGCACTTACTCATGCAATCAAACATAATTTGCATGAGCTTCTAGACAATAACTACATTTTAAATAATATTTTTGGGATTAAAATTTATAACTGCCTCATTTAACTGCCTACAATAAGCAAGCAGTGCAAGTAAATACGTTTCGGATTTCTCCACCTTGCGTGCAAAGTGGCAGTAATGTTGAATCCTCAGAGACAAAGATCGTCAAAAATAGATCCAATTATATCTACAGCTGTCTGCCGAACCATTAAACACAAAATTGTATTTGTAGACGTTACATTAAAAAACACTCACAGCCGGTGAGCGAACTTCCTGATTACGTAATTTTTCTTTGACATTTAACTGAACGAGCTCAATACTGGTAGGAACCTCCTGGTTACACCAGCCCACAAGGGATCATTGTGTCCGTCGTGCAGGGAGGGGCTGGGTGAGGAGGGGCTGGGTGTGGAGGGTGGGCTGGGTGGGGGTGGGGAGGGGTGGGGCTGGGTGGGGAGGGGCTGGGTGGGGAGGGGCTGGTCATCCCGTGGTGCCCTTATAAAACTCAAGGTTTAACCAACTCACGCCGGCTTGTGCCCGCCCTCAGAGTTGGGCATGTTTGCGGAATACACCACGCCGCCATTGACCCTGGCCATTGACCGAGCAACCCAACGTTCCTACCAGCTCCCTCCGCAGGAATGTGTTTTGGGCAATAAATGCTTTAAAATGTAATTCTGAATATCTATATTCAATACAATCACCAGTTTGAGTGCAGATTATAACCAATAATATTCAATATTTAATGTGTTTTTTTGTCATTTGCTAACATTGCAACCAGCAGATTAATTTGATTTGTACCACATACATGCTGGACAATGCAACTGGATGGTTATGCCCGTTCTTAAAATTCGAAGACTTATGTTTTAAAATCACTCAATGCAGGCACTTTCCACCCTTTAAAATAATTTGAAAATGGCAGCCCTGTTGGCGATGACTGCCACAACATTGTTTATATTAAATTCCCAGAATAAGGAAACGATAACAACACGCAACGACGCGCACGCAGACACTTGAAACCTAAAACGTTCACAGCGTGACACACCCACTGAAACCGCGTAAACAAACGCACGAATAAACACGTCAACAATTCGACGCTAATCGCGACCGTCCGCGGCTCGCGCAGGACGTGCAATAGGTGGCCCGGCAGAGCGTCCGCCGCGACACGCGGGAGGGGGGGTGGGCACCTGTCAGGTAGTACGTCAGCTGCCCGTTGTCCGGCGTGGCGTCCGCGTCGTCCGCCCGGACGACGGCCACCACCTGGCCGGGCGCCGAGTCCTCCGGCACGTCACCGGCGTACGCGTCGCGCGAGAACCGCGGCGGGCAGTCGTTGGCGTCGGCCACGGCGACGCGCACGCTCGCCGTGGCCGACAGCCGCGCCGGGTCGCCCAGGTCGGTCGCCACGACCACCAGCTCGTGCCCGGCCCGGGCCTCGCGGTCCAGCGGGCGCAGCGTGCGCACCCAGCCGCTCTCGGCGTCCACCGAGAAGAGGTCCCGAGCCGCGCCGCCCTCGACGACGGCCTCCTCCGCCAGGCTGTACGCCAGCTGCCCGTTAGCGCCGCCGTCCCGGTCCGTCGCTGGAAGTCAAAACGGAGCGGCGGGAACGGCGAGTCGGGAGGGCGAACGGTGCCAACTGCGGAATGCGTGCTTGGAGGTGCGTGCGTGTGTGCATGTGTGCGTGCATGTGTGCGTGCGTGTGTGCGTGCATGTGTGAGTGCGTGCATGCATGCATGTGTGCGTGCGTCTGTGCGTGCGTGTGTGCATGCGTGTGCAGTGTGTGCGTGCGTGCGTGTGTGCGTACGTGTGTGCGTGCGTGCGTGCGGCGGGCGGACGGTGCAGCGTGTGGGAGGCAGCACCATGGACGGTGCGTGCGAGTGTCGCGTACGAGGGAATGTGCGTGGAATGCCCAACCTGTCGCCGGCAGAGGGTTGTGCCACCTGTCCTGGCATTTCCAGGATCTTCTTGTGAGTGAGGTAGCCATTCTAGGACAAGCTGTAAGTCTTCCCGGGACATTAAAAGTCCCGAATTTAGTCAGTTGACCAATATTACATCACTTCCTCCCATGAAATCTCCGGGAGATAGCAACCCTACCAGTGGACCAAGTACACTTGAGAGCTATCTGCGTGATCTTGTTTCACGCGATTGTCATGTAAGTGTGGGTTTTCCCCAGCTACTCCGATTTGCTGCAACACTGCCGCAGAAGATGCGATTTCTGCGGCAGTCTTGAACGCTCTTCCTTCCGATATTTGGAAGCCACTGGAGCTTTGCCCTTTTGAATCTCGACTGAAAACGAATTTCTTGACAACTGCTTTTTGAGTTTAGTTGGTTTTCCTTCCCACGCACGGTCGACTACGTATATGGTGCGATAGAAGGGCAACATACGCACGCACATTTGGCGATTGGCAAAAGGCAGCGGTGTGAAGCGAGCATGGCTGTGCGCAGATCCATTACCTCTCACTTGCACGACCGGCACGCCAGCAGGGAGGTTCTCCATCACCACGCCCTCGTAGACGCTCGACTCGAACACGGGCCGGTTGTCGTTCACGTCCCCGACGTGCACCGTCACCAGCACCTGCGCGACCACGTCCACTTCGTCCCGCCGGTACGTGGCTTTGACCCCGAACCGGTAGCTCCTCACGGTCTCGTGGTCGAGGGCCTTGGCCACCTTCAGCCGCCCGGTCTGGCTCAGCACCACGAACGTGTCGTCCGCGTTGTTCTCCGCTCCGCCGCCGCCGGGGACCGCGGCGTAGGTGGCGCTGTCGTTGCCCGCGAGCCTCGCCGCGCCGATCTCGCTGCCCACCTCCGCGTCCTCGGCGACCGTCAGCGCGTAGGCCGCCTCCGTGAAGGCCGGCAGCTCCGCGTCGGCGGGCAGCACGGAGACGGAGACGGGAACGACGGAGTGCTTCCTCTCCGGCCCCTTGTCCTCCGCTTTGACGAAGAACGACATCCGCGAGCCTTCCAGGCCAACGAGGCTCTCCTTGGTGACGATGTGTCCCGTCAGGGGCTGCACTTCCAGGACGTCCTCCGCGGAGTCCGACTCCCCTTTGTAGAGCGTGTAGACGAGATCTGCGTTGCTTCCCTCGTCCGGGTCCGTGGCTAAGACCTGCAGGATCGCGGTCCCCTTGTCCGCGCTCGCAAGGACGTTCCCAAAGTACTCGTTGGTGACAAACGTGGGCTTGTTGTCGTTCTCGTCGGTGGCGATGACTTTCACCGTGGTGAAGCCCACCCTGCCTCCCCCGTCCTTGGCCATGATGTTAATGTCAAAGACTCTTTCCAGCGGGTCTTCTCTGTCGAGGGGCTCGCTCGTGAAAATCTGCCCGTTCTCGTCGATGGTAAACCTGTCACCCGCAAACTGATTCACGATGGAGTACGACACGTGTCCCCAGCGGGCCCCAGTCCTTGTCGGTGGCCTGCACCAAGGTGAGCAGGGTGCCTACCTCGGAATTCTCCGGGATCTCCTTCACGTACTCATTTTGGCCGAAGATGGGGCTGTGCAGATTTGCGCTCTGGATGTTCACGTGCACCTGGGCCGTGCTCGTGAACACCCCGTCCGACACGGAGATGTTGAGGCGGTACTGCGGAGCCAGCGTTTGTTTGCGTAGGTTGGAGATGGAGATTATGCCGGACTTGCTGTCGACCACGAAGTTCATGTGGTCGTTGCCAGAGAGAATGCTGTACTCGAGCTTGTCGGTGTCTGACGCGTCGGCGTCAGAAGCCTGCACCCTGGTGACGAAGTGGCCGCGCGGAGCAAGCTCGCTCACAAACGCTTCGTACAGCAGTTGGTTGAACACGGGAGGGTTGTCGTTTATGTCGGTGACGGTGATCGTCACCGGAACGTCGCTGGTAAGGAAGGGCATGCCACTATCCGACGCCCTCACCAAGAAATTATGGACCTGGTTTTGCTCGTAATCCAGGAATCTGGAGGTCAAAATAAGCCCGCTGCTGGAGTCGATGTAAAAGCACTCGCTGCTGTTCTTCCCGTTGTTGATAATTTGGTAGTAGAGCGCCTTGTTGGAGCCGATGTCGGCGTCGGTGGCGCTCACCTGAAGGACGGAGATCCCGATGAGCGCCGCTTCAGACAGTGTGGTGGCGTAGGCGCTCTGCGAGAAGAGCGGAGGGTTGTCGTTGACGTCCTGAACGAGGATGTCCAGGTTCACCTCGGCGTGCGAGCCCGTCACCGAGTCCGTGGCTCGCACCGTCAGCTTGAAGGTCGTCTGCTGTCTCAGTGGTCCAGCGAGCCGATGACATTCACGACGCCCGTGTTGAAGTCGATCGAGAACTGGTTGAAGGGGTCACCGTCCGTGATGCTGAAAATGAGAGGCAGGCCCTCTGGACTCTTCGCCTGAAGGTTAAGAATTGGCGTGTGCGGCTTAATGTTCTCGGGTACTGACTTACTGTAGAACGGCCTTTCAAATATGGGCATAGCCTTGTTAATAACGGTCACCGGGAGGCTGACTTCGGACGATAATGGAGGCACCCCGGAGTCCGTAGCCACCACGTTCACGGTGAAAGTCCTTGCTCGACATGTCCGCGGTGAAACTCCTCCTCAGCGAGACGTCGCCGCTGCGTGCCTCCACGTCAAAGTACTCGTGCTCCTCCTTCAGCGAGTAGCTCACCTCGCCGTTCCGCCCGACGTCCCTGTCGACGGCCGCGATCGTGTACACGACGCTTCCCGGCGCCGCGTCCACCTCCACGACGGCGTAGTACGGCAGGTTGACGAAGATCGGGGCATTGTCGTTGACGTCCTCCACGCGGACCGTGACCACGGCGTGCGCGATGTTCGGCCGCGCCCGGGCGTCGCTCCTCACCTCCACCTAACACTTCGTAGCGCTCCTGCTTCTCCCTGTCAAACGGAACGCCCGTCGTTTGCAGGATCCCCGCGGTCGGCTTGATCTCGAACATCCCGCTCGGGTTGAGCACGCTGTAGGTCAGCGGCTCGTTCACGCCGCTGCCCACGGCCGCGATCACGGCCAGGACGACGACCTCTGTGCTGTTCTCCAGGAACGCTCGCGGAGTACGTCTGCGGAACCCGGAGTTCGCCGGTGGATATCTCCCGAACCGAAACCTTCACCTGTGCCGTGCTCACAAATTTCCCAGTCGAACACCTTGACCGCGAGCTCGTATCGGCTCCGAAGGTGAGTGGCATTCTGTACCGAGATGTCACCGGTCCGAGCATTGATGGCGAACTTGTCTCCGACGTTTCCAGTCGAGATGCTGAAGGTCAGCGAGGCGTCAGTGTCCGGGTCGGTGGCCGACATGCTCAGCAGGCGGACGCCGCTGTAGGTCGGCGTGAGCAGCACCGTCTCGTACACGGACCTCGAGAATATTGGCGGAGAGTCGTTGGCGTCCAGCACCGTGATGGTCACGTTGGCGGGCGTTTCGGCGGAAAGCTTCGGGCTGCCGCTGTCCGACACGCGCACCTGGAAGTGGAACTCGGGCGTCTTTTCGTGATCGAGCACCTTGATCATCTTGATGGCCCCCGTGCTGGAATCGATGGAAAAGTACGTCTGGGCTTCGTGCTCGACGATCTGATAGACGAGCAGCGAGTTCTGTTCACTGTCCAGGTCGGTGGCGCGGATGACGAGGGGGACGTTCTTGTCGTTGAGCACCACAGGTGTGTGCCTGCGCCTCCTCGCTGACGACCCCGCGGTACTGCGAGCGATCGAACACGGGCGCATTGTCGTTCTCGTCGCTCAGGTGGATCGACACGGACGCATTGGTCGAGAGCCCCACCATGTTTGTGGCCTGTATTGTCAGTTGGTACGATGGCTTCCGTTCATAGTCCAGGAGCTCTTTGGTGGTGATGACCCCGGAGGTCGGATTCACGTAAAAGGTATCCTCAAAATTCCCGTCCCTTATTTCGTAATTGACCGTCGAGCGACTGGAGGCCGTCACCATGAGCACGAAGCTCCCGGGCCTGGCACCTTCGCTGACCTCCGCCGAGTAGTCTTTGGAGGTGAATCTCGGCGGGGCGTTGTCCGCGACGGTGACGAGTACGCGGACGGCGGCTGGTGGCGCTGCGGGGCGGCTCCCCCCTGTCCAGCGCCCTCACCGCCAGCTCGTAGGCCTCCACCACGGCCCTGTCCAGCTCCTTGGCCACGGAGAGGATGCCCATCGTGGGGTGGATGGTGAACGAATTCCCCACGTTTCCTGTTAGACGACGCGCGGGGCGCGCGGGGCGAGAAAAGACCACCACGAACGTTTTCAAGTAGCACGCGTAAATAATACTGACTTCTTTAGAAAACTTATCCTGTTCCTCACTGCGTTTAGATGCATTTTTACTTATTGACGGTTTTTATTGTGACTAAACGAGTGAATTTGTAGACCAAATGGAATTGTTACCATACATTATGGGGGAAGCTGTAGCATGTATGAGGTGGCTGGGAGATGTGGGTGGGAGAGGTGGGAGAGGTGGCAGGGAGAGGCGGCTGGTTACCGGCTTCGATGCTGTAGGTGACCTCGGCGTTGGGGCCCCTGTCGCGGTCGAGGGCGACGACCTCCAGCACGGCGGAGCCCACGGCGGCCGACTCGACCACGCGGCCCTCGTAGTGGCGGCTGGTGAAGAGGGGCGCGTGGTCGTTGGAGTCTCGCACGTTCACCACCACCGTCGCGTACGCCTTCTGCACGGGGATCTCGCTGTCCCTCACCTGCTTGCAAAGGAAAGTCAAGCAAATGGTTATTGTCAATTAATTTAATAATAATTGCTGCCATTATTTTCCAACGTGTATCCCGCTGCCAAATCCATTCTGAACCCTCGCGGAGCAGTGGACCCCTTCATGTTGATAGAAGCCCTTGATGTGCATGCCACAGAGCGACCTTCGAAGATACCTGCAAGTGACCCCTGGTCTGCACAGTCGATGGAACCACCTTCCCACCCGCTCTGCATATAAGAGTAACGTCTTTCGCACGACAGTCAAATTCATATTTTAACATTAATGGGATTTAGCCAGAAAAAGTGGAAACCAAATGTAATGAGATGTTTTCTTTTGTACTGAAATGGGTGATCGAGCTGAAACCATCAATCCACTATTCGCTTGAGAAGCCAGTTTAAGCACAGACCTGGATTCGAACCCATGTCCTTGAGCCATGTGGCCACCTCAATGTGACATGTGTCTATGCTTGGTGCCAGAAACTGCGGGTGCCACCGTGGCCATTCGAGGCAGTGATGAGGTGCAGAGAATCCCACCACCCAGAAGAGCAATATACGGCAATGCCCAGCCAGCTCTGAGGCAGTGTGGGAAATTCCACATTCCCTCGGCACAAATCCAACACCTTCAGTTAACGATGAGAAGCCCAACGCAGCGGGAGCATTCACGCAGGCTGCACACAAATAAAATGCAACCACAAAGCAGCGCCCCCCTCCCGCCACCGCCCCCACACCCCCTGTGCGTGCCTCTCTGTGAAGCAGCAACGTCGTTACCATGACGGTGAGGATGTGGCTCTGCTTGGTCTCGTGGTCCAGGCTCTCGACGGTGGAGAGCGCGCCCGTGTTGTAGTCGAGCTTGAACTTGCGCAGGCTGGCGACGTCGGTGCTGCTCACGATGGAGAAGGTGAGCGAGCTCGTGTCGTCGCGGTCCGTCGCGTTCAGCCGCAGGATCTCCGTGTTGGGAGGCGTCTCCTCGGAGACGCTCACCTCGTAGCGCGTCCGCGAGAACTGCGGCCGATGCTCGTTGGTGTTGATGACGCTCACCTCCACCTGGGGCCGGCACAAGGGGGGGCAGGGGGGTAAAGTGTCAGCCCCGCACTGCAGATGTACAAAGGCAACAATTTCCCTGCGTGGTGCACATCGATATGCCTGCTCATTTACTCAATCTGAGATTGAGTTTGTGCGTATCCTGCCAATGCATACATGCTGCGGATTAATTCTTTCAAACGCGGCAGTATTTTATTCACTTTTTGTTATTTATTTGTTAATTCGTCAATTTCAAACCAAAGACAAATTATTTTTCGTCCTTAACCAGTTACACATGTAACTGGTTTTGTGAAATACACAACTTTTATTTTTTATTCAACATTCCCTCCACTCACATTGGCTGGCCGCATGTTTTGCTTGGATAATATGAATCCATTCCCATCTATACTAAATTACTCGCTGCGAACTATGAAATATATCATTCATTTCGATCTGAAACCGTTTAAGTGAGAGTGTTTAAGTTGGCACGAAACCCATAAAAACACGACTTTCAACTTGTGAGAGTTCAACCTCTCGGATGTCAAGAGCGGCGACTCCCGTTGCTGCCCTCCATGCCACACCAGGGACTTGCGGACTGCAGCAGCCAGTGAACCCAACAAGCAGAACACTTCATGGGCCACTTGTCGGCAGTCTAAGGGTCATTTATCACAGGTCATGAGGCACAGCTGACCCTAGCAATTACAAGCAGGAGTGGGGGGGGGGGCCCTTCGTCCCGGGTCACGTTTCACTATCATGGTCGACTGCAATAGCCTCAAATTACTGTCAGCAACACGATCCCCGACTCTTGCCCCATATGAATATGTATGGTTGCACTTCCTCTGCACCGTACATAGCTAACCGTGCTAATCGGACATGCAAGTGAATTAAATTTGAGTCAGACTGTACCCCTTTCTGAAGGAAAAAACGAGTTTACACGTTAAATGTGTTACAAGTTGTCCATGAAAGTCGCACATAATGCTCGTATTGATAGGTTAAGTGCAGGGGTATGATGATATTGCACTAAAATCCATGCAAGGTATGTGCAATGCGGTGCTACGAGCAGCTGGGAGGCTTGCATTCCAAATATCAGTCGGCAGAGAGCAGTCTAGGCACAAGGGAGATGTACCACCCAAACGCGGCAAATGACCAAGCAGCTTCACACAGACTGACACGGAGTTGAAAAACTGTGTGACCTTGCCACTATCGCACATTATTAATCTGGCAATTATGCATGACAAAAATTAAACAGCTCAGACAAAAGATTACAAATAATGGAAGGGAAAGGCTGATTATGTCTAAATTGTTAATTATCCCAAATCCTGGCTCTCTGAGAGTGATAGACCCTCGGCTTTTTAATTTCTATTTGCATACACAATTACGTTTACACAATGAAAGGAGTTGACACTCAACAATTAGCAAATAATAACTAAAAGGCTACATTGCAAGCTAGCGATGACGTGCTTTGGAGTAGACGAAGTGGGATGATGTATTTCTTGACAAACGAGCTAAACTTTTATATCTTGATCTCCAAAATGTAAAAATAGCACGCACGTGTGTTGCCCATCTGTTGTACTTATATCACGGCCAAGGTCACACGTGCCCTGCATGTCGTCGTGAACACAAGACCAGTTGCAAGGTGGCTCAGGAGACTCGTAATTTCTGGGTGAAGAGCGCCAAGCCTCTCTGTGCTTGTGGGTTAGAACCTGGGTAACCAAATTCGTTCTAACAGCAAGATGATGGTCTCATCCCAGTGACCAGGTAATTGCACACTAAAGGAATGGTATAAAATGTGATATTTAAACGCAATGAAAATTGCTAATTTGTAGAATATAAAGGTCACGTTTAAATGCGAGGAACACTAATCGCAGAGCGGCAGAGCACGAAGGAGTGCCCGCCAAGTGGTAGGTAAAAGATGAAAGTTGTTATGGAAGCAGAAGTAACGATGCGAGCATTCCAGAAGAACTTGTCTTCATCTCATGCCATGCCTCCAATATCAACAAAACAACGTTTTGCAGACAGCTGTCAATCCACTGCTGGATGAAGGCCTCCTTGCCCCATACTGCACCTGCGAGTTCGCCATTAGCGGGGGGGGGGGGAGCCAGGACCAGTTAAGATATCACGCGCCACTGATGTTGGCCGTGCCGCTGGCCCTTTAATATCACAAGTGACAATTATTTTTTGGTGACGAAAACCCAGATAAACCCACGGCCGTGACACTGAGCAGGCGAGCAGGCGAGAGCAGTCGTCAATCAATTGTGTCCACCAAAGGGGCGGTGGTGAGTTGGGGAGCCACAGAGGGAGGCATCGCCACGCCGCTTCAAGGAGACGTTTTCAAGAGTCACTACTCCGCTGATGAAAATAGGTGACGTCATGTCTTAATAAAATACACATCTGTAAAAATGTATTGTATATTCTGTGCACATAATTCACATTGGCCAGCGTAAACATATTTAAGTTCTCTTCAGGGTTTTTAAACAAACTTATATTGTTGTGCAGCACATTTAACAAAAAGCCACTATTATAAGGGATTGTTGAGTTTGTTCAGTAGTAGATAGAACAACTAATTCTTAGCATTACTCTTACACAAAGACAACTGGCTAAGTACATAAGCAATGAGCAATTGGATGCAACTGGGCGGGGAGGGCTTCCAATGCAAAGTTCTCAAGTAATATACAATAATTAATATCGGTGACTGAGCTCAATGGAAGGCGACGGTCACCAAAGTCTTTGCGAATGGAGATAGCACACACAGCGAGAGACAGGGTCCAAAACGTACGATTCGAACAACAATTATTGACCCGTTTCTTTTCTTCCGTGTGTGTTCGCACACCCAGGGTCCGATATAGATTCAAGGAAGAGTCGGAGCTAATGGTCTCAGCTTGACCAACCGACGCAAGTGCACACTCGAGCTCTGCGGTATACGAGGCTCTGGCTCTGCGTTCAGCAATGAGTCACTCCAGCCGCGTGTTTTCCACTGCAATACAAGTGGCTTCGTTCCCATTGCAATTTACTCGCTCTCCAAACTATTTGTTTTCGCTGTAACATCAACATAAACTGCGCCACACACAATGAGACATCTGTGTCGTTGGTAGGCACTTGATGTGTTTTGTTGCGGACGAGAACAACAGAAGGGAGAACTGTTAAGGCGAGAAGTTTTTCCGTCTTCGCTGCCGCCTCAACGACCGTTCGGCGGTCTGGGCGGACACACACGAGAGAGCGATCCAAGTGGAGAAGGAGAAGCCCAACCACCGCGGTGGGGCCGCTTGCAGCGACGAGTGCACGCGCACATCGATCACGAGCAAATTTTGAATCAATAAGCGCCGCGGGGCGAGTTGTAACTTTGTGTGGCCCACGAAGAGTAAAACAACGGAGGACTTCACTTGCTTGCGTGCGCATGCGGTAGCGTGGCGATTAATGTGAAGCATTTACCCAGGGGGTGGGTGGGGGTGGGGGGTGGGGGACACACACCAAGTTTCGAGACTCTTCTCCAGAGGGTCCTGCATTTGGATGTTTGGCCTAATACGATTAATGAGTGTTGGGAATAGTTGTGGTGGGAAACTATGAAGGGTGCCTTATAAGTGCACATTATTGTTATTATTATTTGAAGAAACCCAAGCAATTCGAGGGCATTGCACTTAGCCATGTCATCCCGTGGCCACTTCACAGCCACAACATCTGGCAAGCCAACTACACGTGGCAAGCCATTTGTTGATTCGGATTCTGAAGCCCTGGTGCTCACCCATCCGAGGAATAATGGGGCTTCTGTGATGACGTGCATGTAGGGTGACCGGTCATCGGCAATAATACATATTCATCATTCCAGTGGTAATCAAAACAATAACAATTCCAGTGACGGTCGTTTAAAATACTCTTTTTACACGATCACCACTTACTTAACCGTGAGCGGGTATGTGTACGAGTCCATTCGTGGTGGAATAACGATGAAGGAAGCGTTGTGCTACAATGTCAGCGACCTGGGTTCAAATCCCAGGCAAGCAAATAAACCAGTGTTCATTTGTATCTGCACCCATATCGGGTCAACTCAGGTCAACTACACCTTAAATGAGTCGAGTACAGACCACATCAGACCCTTGTCCCCCTCGTGTGCCTCGCCAGCGATAATCCTGTACACGCTTACTAATGGCACTCGCTCGATGGCTATAACGGGAAACCTTGTCCTCACACGTCTGCCTTTGTCATGAGACTGGAAGGTATATTACATCAACCATTGCTGCCCATCTTGGTCCACTGAATTTTTTCTACGTTCAGTGGATTTCAGTAATGTTTCACCCAAACTGCACTAACGGGTCTTGCTATTTCTCCATCGCTTCAGACACCGGTGAGCCAACAATTGGCAAAGCCCAATTACACCCAGTGGGTGGCTGGGTGTGATAAATAATTATAACTCATTAAGTGAGCGTGGATGAGTGCAATGTCCTTGAAAAATAATAAGCTCTGATGTTGCCAGCTAGACAACTGCTTACAACTTACGGAGGCCCCAAGCTGTTCATGAGAAATTATAAAGAAAAAATTGGTATGTGAAATGGAATAGCCATACAAGGCAGGGTGACGTAGCAGCAAGGTTAACGCTGCAATCCACCGCAGCCCTCGTGTGGTGGTTCCTTCGCCACGAGACAAGTGAGCGATTGAGGAAGCTTGGGAACGATAACAAATGTTGGTCGCGATGAATTTTTTTTCAAATGACAAACTTAACGTACGACCTGGGCAAGAACACAAGGGGGGGGGTGTCATGTCAAAGTCACGTGGTTCAGACACAAGATTACGATTTAGCTTGCAAAGTTGAGGTTTTGGTCAATAAAAGTGGTTTACGATTGAGATTGGTGACATTCGTTAAAGGGCGCCACGGTGGCGAGATGTTTACAACCTCGCTGGGTATACAGCAGGTCGTGAGTTCGATCCCAGCCCTGACGCCTGCTGTGTATGTGGAGTTTGCGTGTACTCCCTGTGGTCATGTGGATTTTTCTCCGGGTCCTCCAGTTTTCCCCTCCACATTTAGAAACAAC